CCTCCATGCCTACAACCCGGCCTTCTCGGAGTACATTTGGGCGGTGGATATCAGGAGAAAGGGTGGAGACCTGGGCCAGGACATGCTGGGCGAGGAGCCTTACTCGACGATGTGCTCCATGGCCATGGCGGGCAAGGTCGCATTGGTGGGAGGTGGCCCCAACTGCAGGACGTGGAGCATCCTCAGGTGGTTCCCCAAACCGGGTGGCCCGCCGCCGGTGAGGGGCAGAGCAGAGCAGACCTTGTGGGGCTTAGAGGACTTGGAGCCCCGGGTTATGGAGGACACGGACAATGACAGCGTGCTCATGCTCCGTCAGATGTACCTGACCTCGCTGGCCTACAAGGGGCTAGGACAGCTGACGGTCCCGCAGGTTGGCTCCTCTTTCCTGGAGCACCCGATGGACCCGATGGAGTGCAGCAAGAGCCCGAGCGCAGCGAGGTGCTCATCGATCTGGGTCACGCGGGCCTACGTTCAATGGGCAAGTGCACTCCACCACTCCCTCATCAAGTTCGATGAGTGCCGCCTGGGCCAGGTGGTTGTGAAGTCCACGGCATTGTCAACGGACCTTCCTCTCCACCATTGGCATGACCTGCGTTGCAACCACAGGTCGCACCCCAGGGGAGAAAAGCTCAACTCCAGTGACCTCAGCCGGTACCCGGAGCAGATGATGCAGGGTCTAGCAGCGGCCATCCTTTGCCGAGCGGGACCCGTCCTGGAGGCGCTGAGGCCGGGGGGCATGGCGCCCCAGGCTAACCCAACGACCCCCCCGAGGCGTCCAAGGGAACCTTCCCCCAGCACGCCGGGGGACAACAAGCGCCAGTCCCGGAGGCTGAAGGCGGGCCAACAAGCGTTGGCAGGTCTGACCTTGGGCTCACTTCCGGTCTCGGCCTCGGATACTCCAGAGGCTGGGACATCGACACAGAGGACTGGCGAGGTGGAGGAACTTGGGGGGGGAACTCTTCCCCTGGATCCATGGGCGCACAGGGCATGGAGATTTCGGATCGGCCTACCATCCTGCCGATCACTCACGACCCCAATATCTCCGACAAGGTCATGTACCTCCAGATGGCTTTCAAGCAGCGTCCCTTAAGAGACGGTGGAGGAAAGCCCTCACTGGGACGGTTGGCCCCGTGGGCCCGACCGCTGTCCAAAGCAGCAGTGCTGGGGGCCAAGATCTCGCCGTGGGGGGACAAGCTCCAGGAGTCGCTCTCGTTGGGGGGGATGGGTCACATCCCTTCCCGGAGGACCTGCTGGAGGACATCAGGGAGATTCTGGCGCCGACGGCAGGCCGACCAGCGGACGGCCAACCCTTCTTCCTGGACATCTTGCACAGCGTGGCTCTGAACATTCAGGACCCCGACCACCAGTTTCCCCGGGACCTGGAGCAAGGGGTCCCGCTGGGGGTCACGGACCCACCCCTGACCTCGCCGGGCATCTGGCCACTCAAGAAGGAGCTGAAAGGGGAGGAACCAGAGTTCCAGGAACTCCCCCATTCAACGGGCAGGGAACTACCCCTCGGCGGATCACTTCAGCGAGCTCATCCGGGGCACATTTCTGGAGGAGGTCCCCATGGGCATGGTGGAGGGCCCCTTCAGTAAGGAGGCGGCCGCATCGCGATGTGGCTGCGACAGCGAGGACCTTTGCCCCGGTTTTCTGGCGGGCATCGACGAGGGGGACAAGATCCGCACGATCTACGATGGCTCGGTGGGAGGGGCCAATGACACCATCAGGAACCAGACGGTGGAGAGGACGACGGCTCCGACGGTGTTGGATGGGGTCCAAGCTCTCCATTGGCTACATGCGGCAGCCGGGGAGGGACCCCCCTCTCAGGGTGCCTCTGGGGGGATCGTCAAACCTCCACCTGGGGGCTGGCTATGGCCGGAGCCGGGCACCAGGTGGGTGCTGCTCAAGGCGGACGTCACCAAGGCCCACCGGAGAGTGAAGGTCCTCAGGAAGGACTGGCGGTTCCAGGTGGCCTCACTGGGGGAAGAATGGTGGGTGAACAAGGTAGGCACATATGGCATGGCCAGTGCCCAATCCTACTGGGGACGCCTGGCAGCCCTTCTGCTCAGGGTCCTCTACGCGCTTTTCCCCCAAGTGGATTGGAACTTCGTCTTCGTCGACGACTTCCTGTGGCTGCTTCGAAGCGAGGGGGCAGTGAACTTGGCGGTGGCGCTGCTGGCCACACTCCTGGCATTGGGCACCCCACTTAGCTGGAAGAAGACGCACTTGGCGGAGGTCAACACGTGGCTGGGCTTCGTGGTCCACCCGAACATCCCGCAGGTTCTCATGGCGGCCAACAAACACATCCTGGTTATGGAGGTTTTACAGACCATGGTGGAAGGGCAGGCGATGCACTCGAAGGACATCGAGAAGGCCCTGGGCCGCATCCAATGGGCAACGGCCGCATGTCCGCTGGCGAAATCGATGCTCCAGCCACTTTGGGCCTGGAAGATGGCCACCGCCACGGTGGGGAAACCCCCTAAGGTGGTCAGGATGCTGGCGTTCATGCTGCGGTTCCTCTTCAACACGCCTTTCGTCCAGTACTCCCCCTACTTGCCGAAGTCCTCTTGGTGGGGTTGCAGCGATGCTAGCGCCTCGGACGACGGACTGGCATTTGTGGGAGGTTGGTGCTCCAACACGGTGGAACCGGACAAGAAGGAGGTGTACTGGTTCCATGAGCAGATCCACGTGGAGGAGTACCCTTGGGCCTTCAAGAATGGGGATCCAAAGCGGAGGATTGCAGCTCTGGAGATGCTGGGCACGCTCTTCCTCTGCAACATGATCACGCACCAAGGCCCTCTGTCCTCCCGGGTCCGACTCCCGGTAGGCAGTGACAATCAGGGCAACGTCATGGCGATGCTCAACCTTGGCTCCAAGAAGCCCTACACGGCGGCGATCCTGATGGAGCTGGTCTTCCTGCTCCACACCCATGGCTGCTCGCTGGCGGCCAACCATGTGCCCCGTGAATTCAATCAATGGGCTGATGAGCTGACGCACCCAGATTTCTCTGGGTTTGACCCTTTGCAAAGGGTCCCCAAGCAGGAACTCTGTGAGGAGTTTGTTTTTCTCCCGCGTCTCCTGAATGGAGATGCATTTGATCTCAGCGTGGGCCCACCCATGCTCCCGTGACCGGAGCCGGTGGGTGACTCACTTCCCCTGGTGGCAGACCCCCCTGTGGCCTGGGTGCCACGGGCCCCGGCTCAGGGGCGGGCGCTATCAGTCTGCACACCCGTTCTTCAGTTTTTGAGAATTGTGAGTTGGGTGGCCCATGGGGCCCACCCAGCGTTGGTCATCTGACAGGGGAAGATGAGTCCCTGGCACCAACACACTGCTCGGATGAAAGAGTTATCGCGTGCTCGTGTGTGGTGCCGTTTGGTTAGCTTGCATACACTTTTTCAACTTTGGCGTACCCAAATGGATGCCATTGACAAGGGAAGGAGTATTCGTCCAGAGGGCAGCATCCCCAGCGCTGTGTGTTTATTATTACAATACCACGTACATTTTTCCCTTGGGCAGTGATAGCTTGCTATTATCCCCTTGGCATTCCCGTAGCGTTCCCTGAATGACCTTCACGGAGTCCCCTATTCGCACCTCCGTGTTCCTTTGGTCTTCTCTTTGTATGTCCCTACTTTTCTCTCAGTATTCCCCTAAAATTCTCTTAATATTCCCCTGACGTTTCCTTACTAATAACTACCTAGTACTAGTGTTCTCTCGCTGTTCTCTTAGCATTCCATTAGTGTTCCCTGATACTTCCCCGATTTTACCTCAATATTCCCCCTAGTCTTCCCCTATTCTTTAGTACTATCTTACCCCTAGTATTGCCTCAGCTCTCCCCCACCAGTCCCTTAATATTGCCCAAGTATTTCCTCTGTGCAAAGGGAACTGCGACAAGCTGCAGAAGTAAGTGTGCGGACTTGATGATGTCGCTTGCATGTGCGGACATGAGACCAGATCAGATGAGACACACATTTGTCAGGTAGGGTGAGCACCAGGTATTCCCTTAGTGCCGCCCTAAAGTTCCCTAAATACTGCCTCAGTATTCCACTAGTATTCTCCCAGTATTCCCCGATTTTTGCCCTAATATCCCTCTAGCGTTTTCTTGATACACACCTTTTCTAGTATTCCCTCGATACCCTTTGGTGATTCCCCACCCTTCACGGGTTACGGTAAAGATTGCAGTGGCAAGTGTAAACAACACAGCTAGAGAGTGTGAGAGCAGTCCAATCCCAAAAGCTCAAGGCAGCCGAGAAAAACACAGAAAGCAAACCCAGACACCAGTAAGCTCGAGGAGCGCCCCCCCCGGCCCCGCAAAAACAAAAAAACAAAAACTGTTTCCAGCAAACGCAACAACCAAAGCCCTCAGGGACATGTCCAAGTGCCAAGCTGCTAACTTTCTGCCGAGGGCCTTGTTCGTTTGCTTTCCTTTGTTTTTCTTCTTCAAACAACCTTTTTCGAGGTCTTTTGGTTTTCTTGGTTCACGAGTTTTGATCAATGCGCAGCAAGAAGGTTCTCTTTGCATCTGGCAGAAACCACACTGCGGGAATGAGTTGGCCGCTTTGTGCTTTACAGCGTATCTCAACCGTGAAACAATGAGATAAACAAGAAATGCGCAAAAACCCAGCGTTGGGGACACCGCTTTCTGTATTCAAAACAGACCCTAAGTGCCGACCACAAGGGGGACAGGGGGACGTTTCGGGTAGGTGTCTCTTCTACCCGTTGCCCATCAAAGACTTCTCCCATTTCTCGGCACCCTTGTGCCTCGTGCTTGCGGGGTGGATCGATAAGACTTGAAGCCTCTTTTTGCAAAGCATGCCTTTGAAAGAGCCTCAAAGCAAGATCTTTGAGACGAGCTGAAGGGGAGAGAGAGAGAGAGAGAGAACAAAAAAAAGAGGGAGAGAGAGAGAGAGAGAGTGAGAGAGAAAGAGAGAGAGAGAGAGAGAGGCCCTACAGCAGTGAACAAAAGACGCTGAAAGATGAGAGCGCTCTTTGAACTGCAGGTGCTTTGGCAGCTGAAGATGTGTTCTGCCAGTTCGGATGGCGTGACAGGCAGGATATGGTGTTGCCATAAATGGGAGCCGGCCAGGGCTTCGCGGCAGAGTGTGGCACATCCAAGTCGGATTTTTCAACTCCCGGCTAAGGGGGCTTCGCCCAACACCCCAACCCGGCAACTTGAAGGGGCTCGCCGAATTCCGGCCATCTCAGTTTTACAGTTTTGGGAACATCGTGCGAAATCCTATTTGAATGTTTGGCTGTTAAGTGACGGCGTCGCATAGGACTTGTGGACATGTGTTGATGGATCTTTGATCAGGTGAGGAGTTTTGACAATTGCTCACATGGGTCCAGGTGGAGAGAGATTGCGGCACTCCCTACTTTCAGCAAACCTTGAGGACTTTGTTTGTAGAAATTCTTCCTGGAAGGTTGGCGTTTATGCATTTTTTGCTGTCCTTCCCAATCGCGTTCCGCTATTAATGGACCAATTCAGTCAAGACGGCTTTTTTGCTGTCGTCACACGTTCTCTGCGCAGGGACGGCAAATGCGCTCCTCCGGCGCAGTCGAAGCAGGCAAGCGCATGGCCTGTTGAAACGACTGGGCTGAGTTTTGATATCCCCAGAGGTCCAGTCCTTGACACATGCGTTTCGTGCGCAGGCGGGCAGAAGTTGCGACAGTGACCTCGACTGTGAGACTACAGACGAGACCGGGCGGACTGGTAGTTGCACGTGCAAGGCGCGATAGTTGAGCTGAATCAATCTGTGCTTGTCTCATCAATCAGGCCTGGTGGGACAAAGACGACCCCAAGTACTGCAAACCAGTCTCTGGCGACTTCGCTCGACATCAAGAAGCTCTTCGCAACTACCTCTGGTTCAGGCGGCTGGGTTTCGTGAGCCAAGTGACTTGCGATTTGCCAGGGCTTCCAGATGCGGAACCTTCTGGACGGAAAAGGAGTGCCTGCGCATCTTCGGAAATGAGGCATGGACACTCGAGTCGCATTGGCCCGCTTGGTGCTGAGGTGAAGTGGTTGCCAAAACATGACAAGAGTTTATGTCCACAGCTTTAGGGTGCTTCTAACAGATAGGAAACCCTGAGGATAGAGGGTTTCCTTTTGGTTTCCCTTCAATCAGCAAAAAGGCGGAGGTGTTCAACATTTTATGCTTGCCTGTAGTGCCACTACAGGTTACGGATTCAGACTAGGGATCCGGGAACCCATTTTGAAGAACCGGCGAAAGGGGTTTCTCCAAAATTGGGACCTGGAAACAAATCGGCGAGGCCATGCGACTCAAGCTGGCTGTGCAGTGCGAAGAGCAGCAGCTGTCCGGGGGTTTCGGGCTCAAGTTGCACTTGCAGCGATGCCCGGGGTCGTCAAACAGGGCTCCCAAGATGATCTCGTTTACCTTTTTACACAAGACCGAAAGGAAGCTACTACTTTGGGCGTAATGTTGAGGTGAAACCTGGGTGGTTGCCCTTGCAGCAACAGACATGAATTGTGGCACTGGCCTTGATGGCACCCCAATCATCAATGGTTGCGGCAAGGTCATTGATTCTTTCTCATGGGTTTTGGGCTGATCCCTTTGATACTACCTTTCCTGCTTGGGAGCTTTAAAAGCACGTGCGCCCGCTGGCCCGCTGGTTTCAGCCTAGGTCCATACGGTCCGCCGGAAGAGTGTGGCGCGGGCCTGAACTGTAGTTTACACTTTTAATATGACTATAGTATATAGTCATATATGGGGGGGGGTGTTTTTGGAGTGTACCGTTTCCAGGTTGGTTTAAAGGGAAACCACAAGGAACATCACCATTGCGTTCTGGGGGGTTATTTGTGCGTGCATTCCCTTGACCTCAGGTATTGTCGATAATGAGCGCTTCGGAGACTTCTGTGCTATGATGGATATGCTCTGAGAATGGACACATCGGCTTCTGCTGGGGGTCCAACAGCCTCCTTCTTCTCGCGCTTTCAAGTTGGCAAGTGCTAACAATTAAAATAATATGCGCGCAGGCATTCTTCGTTTAGAAAAAAAGCACGTTTATGTCAGCTCTTCCCCCTTGTTTTCTTTAGTCATACCTGTCGGGCCTCAATCTGGTCACATCCGCTAACGCGGAGGTCGTGGCCGGCGGAAGTGCCACTCGTTTCACTTGGCGAATTCAGCGTTGCGGCGGGAAGATCTCGTTTCTGGCACACGGGTATGTGGGTTTGTCTTGAAATAGGCTAAACACCAACATGTTTGGTAACTTTTGTTTTCTTTCCAACAAAAGAAACACGCTACCCTCCAGAAAGGACACCCCGCCCTTGTCTTGTCTTGAAGGCCCGCTTTTTTTCAGGCAAGCGAAGACAAACCGCCTGTTTTGGGAAGCACAGACTCCTGGAAGGCCATTGCTGCAGGTTGTGCTCGGGGGAAGGGCCGGTCTTCACAGGGGATGCCCACGGCCGTTTCTGCTCAGTCGGGTTGGTCTGACAGGGATCAGGCAGCATGCGCGCCTGGCGGAATTGATCGACTCAAGCTGAGGGCGCAATCTGCCGGGAACAGAATTGCAGACTTTTCGAGTGCAGGGTGTCCATTGCCTTGTGTCACAACGGTAGCATGCGGTAGCATGTTGGTTTCCTTCCAAAACCTCCACAGGATCCAACAGTAACTAGTTTGATGCCAACACTGCAGAGAGGCAGCTTCGGTTCAGCGTGAGCCGATGGCCAGGTCTGAGACATCGACCTGATGCCAAGCTGCGGGCGTGCCGGCCGCACGAAGGTCGTCTCTTGTGCTGCTCCAGTTAGGAATCCCTGTGAGTGCCTGTGTCACCCTGCTTAAAATGGACACAAGAGGGAGATACACTTCAATTGAATTCGACTTCCATTGTTGGGCGAGAATATCACCAAGTAGTTGTGTTTTTCAGTTTGAAAGAAGAAAGAAGAGCAATGACGGTGAAAACAGTGGGATGGAACAATATTTGAGCAAATGCCGAACCCCACGTCGCCAATCAACATGTTTTTGGACCCCCGATGTTGACACGTACCCTTTTTCGAGGCCACCGGGCCGTCTCGATGGGCGGCTTTCCAGGTTCAAGCTCTCGAAGCGTGACCTCGGTCACAACGACCTGGGCCTTGCAGGCAACAGGCAGATGGGAGGGGGGGCAGAGCAGTCACACAGTGTGTCCTACAGGACAGCCTTCCCTTGGGTTTCCGGGTAACACAACAAACACATTTCACTCCATGGATCCATGGCGAATCTTTGGGAGATCTTGCATGACTTGAGGACTTGCCTGCAGACACCGGCCCCTGGGGCTGGGCCCTCAGCTTTCTTGACGGCTGGGCTTGATTGCAGTTCTTTTTTTGTCCACCTCACAACACTTCAATTCAGCGGCTCTGGTTCAAAGGACCCTTAGCCTCCTGGGTTGGGCCGCCAGAGGCCTACGACCCTTACCCGTTCTTGAACCCCACCGTGCACCGCACCACCGCGGGACGATGCTTTCCGGACCGCAGCTTTTGGTCTGGCGAGTTGCTGCCCCTCTGAGTTGCAGCAAGCGAGCGGGAACCAAGCGGACCTGTTGGTGGGTGGGCTTCTCCCTGTAGTCAGAAGGTTTGTGAGAGGTTTTGACGCATCTGCAACAGGAGGAATCGGGTTTCATCCACGACTGCCCGTTTGTCGGGATTTCGCCAGGACCGAGCGCCCGGGTTCCGCAACGTGGTGGACCGGATGCCGGCGCCATGGCGGCCTGAGCCGATGTCCCTGTCGCGGCTTCAAAGGCCCTGAGCAAAAGAGGGCAACAGGCGTCCCCAGATTTCCCTCGGTGGAAAGCGTCACCTTTTCTTGGCCCCTGTAAGGTGAGTTTCCGGCCCCTGCAAGGTGACTTGCCTTTGGTAGGGGGGAGGTTTTGAGGGGAAATAGGGGGAAGCTTGGAAGAAGAGGCCGTCCCGCGTGTCATGGCAAGAGTTGGTGCACCTTGGCAGTGAGCAGCCTCTGGTGCACTATGCCTCGGCCACCTTCTGGGTCGCCACCTCAGCGGAAACCAAGTGCCACAGCAGGGGCTTGTCCATACTGTATCTGGGTTTGTGTCCAAACCTCCAAACTGGGTTGCTTCCTTTTGGTTCCCCGCTAACATGACCAACAATAGGTACCCCATGGTACCCCCAACAAACAGAGACCTCCCAGCTCTTGACGCATCAGCCGCACGGGGTTTCACCTTGAAGGCGTGGCCCGAGCAGCGAAGAAGAAGCGCCGCTGCATTGAGGCGAGCGAAGATCGCAGGGTTTTCAGCGCCAGAACTGTTTGACTTGTCCCAAAAAATTGGCTGACTTGTCTCAAGCCAAGCCTTCAAACTTTTGCACTTCGATCTGTTGTCTTCGTTTAGGGCTGGAACCAAGATAACAGTTTGAACTTTGCAAGCCCAATGATTTTGAAAACCAGACGGAACTTGCTGGTTCTCAGAAGGGATTGAGTTGGAATGACCTCAACCTGAACCATGAAAATCGACTCTACTTCGAGGGGGGGTACCCTCCACTCCACCCAGCAAGCGCTTGTTTTTTTTGGTGTTCCTCGCTGCCTCTTCCCGACAGTTTGCGGTGAAGCAAAGGGGAAGCAAAGGGGACCAGCCTTCTTGTTGCTTCTTACATATAAATTAGGAGACAAGCTCACCTTGCTTCTTCTTGATCTTGCACTGGGCCGTGCGGAGATTCTGTGGCACGCATCGCAGCTTGCCTGTGCTCTCCGGTGTGTTGGTTCTGAGTGCAAGTGACAGGCATGAGCGCCAAATGAGCAACTTCACCATGAGGAGTGCCGACCTGAGATCCATTGAAACAGACGCAAAGGAAGCCATCAGGATACCTATTATCTTGCGGGCTACATTTGCACGAGCAGCTTTAGGGGACACCTGCCACCTGCAGAGAAGCCGCCGTGCCCCGATACCGGCCCAGGCCAGAACTTGAAGCATGAAGCTGGGGCGGAGTGGCACGAGGATGCACCAGGGTCCAGTGTGGGTGTTGGTTTGTCTCCATTGGGACAAGGTTGCTCCCCCTTTTTTGAGTTTCAAGCGGGCAACCGTAAACCATTTCCGGGGTGCATCTACTTTTAAGAACTGCCAGGTAGAGTGTTCCCCATGTTGAGACTCACCTCTGGATCGCACGCTATGTGGATTGGATGGGCTGCCCTTCAGTTCTTGGGGGGGGCTGCATCCTGAATTCCATCTTCAACTTGGACTAAACCCATAAGGAATCATGAGGGAGATCTATAAAATGTGGATGCCTTCATGCATCGATGACTTTTCGTTGGTGCCGAAAGCGGAGGAGATCGCGCACAGCACCATGCCACGTCCTGCTTGGTCAGGACTGGCAAGGTGCCGACGGTAGTCTGGACAGCACAGCCACCTGTTGGACAGCACAGCCATCTGTTGGTCAAGCTTAAGCACTTTGAAGGAAACACTCAAGAACCTGCTAGTGACTTGCACCAGGGACTTGTACCATGTGAAAGACCCCTAGTTTGAACACATGGGGAGATGACACGAAGGCGACCCCTCTGAAAGGCCCACTTTCCATGTGATACAAGACCAACATTCCCATTTGGCTACGAATGTGAGTGGATGTATGTTTTCAGCTGAATGATGTCCACCAGAGCGTCCCCAATCGACCAATTTATTTGCAGCTGGCACACAACACGTTCCGGCCAGGTCTCGCAGCGATTCAGGCTTGAGAGGAGCTCTTTGATCTCTAGTCGGTTTCACTCAACTTGGCGCGAATGCGTCGAGAGCTGCAAGTGAAAAATGAATCTGGCGGTGCAGCTTGGGAATGAGTTGAAAACGAGTTGGGCCCGGGGTTTAGGATGGCTTTCGAAACACAGCTGTTTCTTCATGATGGATGCAAAGGCCGCTGGTCACTTGCACCAATGGAACTGTCGGGCTCAGATAGTCAGAAGTGTCACCATGGAATACTGCAGAATCACTTAGCAACAACTGTTCAGCTTTACTTTGCAGCTTTGTTTCCTTGCCTCTGCCATTTGCGAGCGCGCCAGGCTCGTGTTTGGGTCACTGCCGTGCAAGCCCGGGGTTTGCCTATGCCTTGCTTATGCCCTGCAGGCATGGTGGTGGCTCAGATTGTGAAAGTCAGGAGATCATGGCTGTGCAAAGTGTTGACGCCTTGTCAAGGTGTCTTAGCACATTGCACGATGTGCTGTGTGTGGGTTTTTCAATTCCGTTACATCCTGCAGGAATAACACGCTGAGGACCTTCAATGTTACGGCCAGAGTCTTATTGTCGCCTCAGAGAGCTTTTAGCTTCAATCTAACCGAATGACAAGCTCGGAATGTTCCATGCCAGGAAGTGGCAGGATCGAAGCCTTCCGATCCACCAGAAACCCCCTTGGCTGCAGGGGCACCGGACTAACAAAAGGTAACTTTGCGAGTGGTGAAGCATTGGCGTCCATTGTTTACATGTGTTTTTGTTAGGGACAGCCCTTAAGATAGCTTTGATTGAGAATGCTGGTTGGATGCGGCTAATAGGTGCGGCCGCTTTGATTCTACGACTCAAATGGGGGTTTCTCAAGATGGTGCTGCGACTCCCTTTGGTTTGTTGTTGAAGGGAAAGCCCAAAGGAAACAAGCCATTTTCGCGGGGGCGCTTTTTACAAACCACCTTAACATGTGTTTGCTTTGGCGCTGGAGAGAGAGTGCGCACCACCGCAGCCCGGGGATCTCTTCTACAAGACGAGCGTGGACGGTCAGCCGATTGCAGAGGACTCGTTTAAGGCGTGCCTTGCTGGGCTGTGGGCGTCACGAGTTTTTTTCCAGATACTTTCCGGGTCCGGAATCCATTCCAAGGGCGCAGCCACGTAGATGCTCAGGATAGAAAGTGTAGAAAGGTTGTGCCCGCATATCTTTCAAGGGCAACAGTACCCAAGCAGTACATGGTGCATTTGGGGACTTGGCTGCCAGGTCCCCCCGGGCTTCGACCAGGTCACGGAGGGGCTGACGGTGCCCTGGCAGTCCGTTTCCACCACCGGTCTGGAGATCACCGAGGCGCGCCTCGCGTGATGCCATGGCCACGCGGGGCTGGGATGGGGGCCGTTGGCTGGAAGGGCGTCAACCTAAGGAAGGGCTCGGTTTTGTGCAGAGAGGGCGATTTTGCAACACCTAAAGTTCCTGAGAAGTCAATCAATTGAACTCTGTGTGCCCAAGCCATGTGCGGGAGGGTTGCGGAGCAACAGACGACTTGATTCTCCGAAGCGGTCTGCTGGGTGCCCCCAAGCTCCATGTCCCCATCGCCCACGCGCTTGAAATGGTTTGCACTGCCCATCGTGTCAATGTGCTGGCTCCTGACTGATTAAAATTGCTGAATTCAAAAGTGATTGGACAAAGGGTATGTTTGGACAAAGTCTTTGGCAACTTTGATACCAAACTGAGTTATGTTTGTTCCCCAGCTAAATGATGTCCAAAGGGTCGCCCTAGTAAAATTCGTTTTTTTTTGTGCCCGCAGGCTTCAAGTGGCGCTTGCATCAGATGTGTGGTGGGGTCGGTGGAGACCGAAGGCTTGGGCCCAAGTTGACCGAAGGCTTGAACAGTTTTCAAGCCCCGAATCTTCACCGCCCCGAATCGGTTTTTTGGTTTTTTTGTCCCTTTCTCATGGTGATCATCGATCCCTTTCTTCAGGGAAACCCCTTGCATGATTGGGGCTGTGGGACGGCGTGGTGTGATTGATGCAATTGGATTGCAGGGTTCGTCATCTTTGGAAGTTCCCAGGACTTGAACCTTTCACACACCCCCGCCCTTCGGGCCTGCCATTGCAGGAAGCCGTGCAAAAACAATGTGTGTATGAGGATGATTTTGGCACCCCTTCCTCTCCTTGCAGCCTCGATTGTAATAGAACCAAACGGATCGACGGCAATAACAAGGTGGTGCACTGAATTTGCTTCTAATTTCTTGCGGTGATTCAGGTAACCGGGGCACGCGACTGAGGTGACAATCGTGACTGGCTACAGTTCCGAAATGCTGATTGGGTGCGCGGCCGATTGTGCTCGGAGTCCTGGAGTTTCCTTGATAATCCACACTTCGGTTCAAGCAACCCCGTCACAATGCTTGGCAAACAGAAATGCAGCGCTCTGTTTGGCCCTGCTGTGAGCGTCCCAGCCGGAGGCTACGCCAAACGCTTGACTGTGGCGCTGTGGCACGCGTTTTCAGCTGGCCAGGAACCCGTTGACGAGAACAGATGGATCCCGCTAGGCCGGCCCGTCACCCTTATACTTAGCTTGAAGCGGAAATCAGACCACGACATCCTGCAGAAGTGTCATACGCTTTCTTCTCGATGTCGCTCCACAGGCCAGCGGCACTTGCTAGGAGCTGTTGGCCCGCTACTCAGAGCGATGGATCAATTCAAGCAAATTCGGCCCAATGTGGAGGTTCAGCGCAGGATCTGGCCTTGACGTGGGCCTGGCACGAATTTCCAGAGATGTGCCACACGTGCTGAGAGACGGCTTTTCTTTGGTGCAGGTTTCGCGATGGTCGCGACAAGAGCGATCCAGATCTTCCGTTCCGTATCTCCGAGGCGCCATCTCTCACATCACAGCCACCCATGTGTTGGTTCAAAAGCAAGCCCAAGGAAAGCCGCCAGTCTGATGTTTGGGGTCCGGTCCCCTTTTGTCTGAGACATTCCGACACACACGGAGAGGCTGGGCTGATTTTGTTTCGCATCTCCAGGTCATCCACTTCGAAAACCCTATGAAGGCGGCCTCACCGAATACCGTGCGCCGCCCAAGTTGATTTTGGTCGGTTCAGTTCACGACCAGAGACTCGGGGACCTGTCGTTTTTTTGTTTTTGTTTTTGTGCTTGCCAGGTATTCCTCAACATCTTCGACCTGGCGTCCTCTCTTTCCATTCCGAACTCCATGCTCTGTAACACCATGCGAAGGGCTCAGGTAACATCGGAGCTGCTGGAAATCCAGTTGGGTCGACCCCAAGCCAACCCATACACCGACCTAAACCCCAAAGCCGAAAGGCCTATGGCGTGCAAAGCCATGCAAAGTGAGTGCTTAGCCACCCCTCAGGCCCAGCAAACGAACACCAAACCCACACCAAGCGAGTTCTAGACCCGCTCTGAACATCCCCTCCAAGCAATTCTTAATTCAACCAGAAGCCCGCCACCGCAGCTCAACCCAACCTTGACTGATATGATTCATCCCAGTCCAATCTCTACAAGCACCCTACCTGCATACCCGAATCCCCAGAACCAAGCCAAAGCCAGGTATGGGCAAGCCCACAGAGCACCGGCTATGCACCTTGTTCCCATGAATGTCAAAGCCTCCCAGCGAGCGCTTTGAGACAACGCGCCTTTGGTTTGGCTTCGGCATGGCTTCGTCTCGAGAGCTTCAGGTTCAACACCCTGGGCGCGTTCCATGCGGCCATCGAGGCTGGAGGATCGTTTCGGGTCTTTGGACGTGTGGCAAGCAGTTTCCAAGTCTGGGAAGTCTTTCTAAGCAAGGCCAAGCAATTGGTTCTTGTGGGACATTTCGTGGATGCCTACCCCTTTCATGGGATGGCCTCTCTCTTGCCCTCACCAGAGAACCATAAATGAGGGTCAATAGCCCAGGTCAGCAAGAACCAACACGCATATGTGTACCACCCGCGTACCCATTGTGTTGTTTTTAAGAGCGAGAAGGGTGATGTGGTTGAATTCCCCCGTGTGGACCGCGCAGAGCTCCAGGTTTATGGAGAGGAGTGGGCGTTCTACCGCACGCCGAATCCGACCTCCTGCGGTGTTTGCCCCCTGGCTCAAAGGTGAGGCGTTTTGGGCCTCAATGCATGAGAGCGCTGAGCTGGCGATGTAAGTCCGCCCAAACAGCCTTCGCAAAAAAGAGGTTTGCGGGTGACATTCTCAAGCATAAACAGAGGTTGCTGCTCTTGTAATTGTTTGACTAGTTCCAAAGCTTCTGTGGTTTCAAAAGGGTAGCCAAAGGGAGACCAGCAACTTGGCGGGCTGTTTCTCTGGTTCACCCCTTTGGCAGAGCGAAACCGACAGACTGGAAGGCAAAAGCCTGAAGCCCCGGTACCACCCTGTGCATGTCTACAGGCGCGCGGGCAAGAGGCTCGGCCATGTGCGAACATCCATCGCGCAGGCAGTCGGTGAATCTGGGGAACACCAACCTCAAGGAGAAGCTTTTCTCGCCGCGGCATGGATCCGAAAGTTCAATGCAAGCGGTTCCTTTAAGTCAATTTCTTCGGTAAGCTACCTGCTTGTCATTTCTTTTGCTAGGTGCGTTGCCATGTCGGGTCTGTCTTAGAAGGCTTTGTTTTAGAGAACACGTCTTTGGTTTCCCTTTGAAACACCCCCCAAAAACGGGGTTCCCCTCAAAAAAGACCTGAAACAAGACGCCCAATTTGTGTCTTCATGGCCTTCGGTATGTCGCAAGGACTGGGAGGTGAGGTACTTGATCCGAGGGAAGCTGGCGGCCAAGTGGCCCGGAGGCAGAAGACTCGGAAGACTTTCACTTGCCTCGGTGGCTCTTCCCCCTTCTGGGTCCAAGGAACTTGGCAATTTTTGGGCAACAGAGTTTGCGTTGCCTTTAGGGTGGGGAAACCCGAAGTGAATCAAAACCGCTGGGGTCATAGGATTGCCACCCAGTTTAAGTCAAACCGGGTAGTGTACGGATTGTAAGGGGAGTGACAGATGGCATTGGGTATTACCAAATTGAAATGGAGAGGCAAGGGGCTCGCCAAAGTTCCCACGGTTCGGAGCATTCGGGTAGAGGTTTAAAGTGAATCGCCCTTTGAGCATCACTGCAAGAGAGCGTTCCTTCAAAACAAGGCAACCACAAGGATGTTCTAGACTAGGGCATCCCGTTTTGAGGTTGTTTTGAAGGGAAGCCAAGCACAGCACTCAACACACACACACACACATATCACGTGAACCCCCTGGGTTGGGGGTAATCGTAGGGAGAGGGAGAGAGAGAGAGAGAGAGAGAGTGGAAGCTCGGCCAGGCACCTACGAGCTCCTGAGCCCGAACCTTATGACGGCGCTGCAATTGTTTGCTGCATTTGGATTGTTCGTGCCCTTGGAGCAGTTTTTGTTTTTGGACGTTGAAAGGGAAGCCGAAAGGACACCGGCCACGTGGCGGTGTGTGTCAAAGTAGAGGTACCCCCCATTTTTTTTTCCCTTTGAGAGTATTCGACGGCTCAGGACGGAACTGCATCCACTTCTGCCAAGAGTTGGCTTTGGCGCTGGGTGTCAGCCCGGTTCCTGCCTGGACCTTTGTCGAAGTTTAGCGGCTCAGTGGCGACTGATGCATCTACTCAGGGAACCAGGATGGGCCCCGTGTTTGGGGATAGTTTGCTCACCAACTCCCCGGTGCGTCCCGCACGCATGAAGTGTAGCCCAAAGATATCCGGCTGTCAGTGAGGGCTGGGTGCGCGGCCTTCATGAGACTGGCAGCTATCTCGGACACGCGAGCAGTGCATCTTATCAAGTGTGTCAAACAATTGGAACTTGTTTTTTGGGTTTCGGCACAAGCCCAGGTGCGAGCATCTTCCAGATGCCTTGGCCGCTGTCCGCAGTGCATTCAGCGCTCTTTGGCAAGGCCATCACCAATGGCCGAGGCCACAAGGGTTTGTCTCCAAATGTGGGAGTCCCCGAAATGGGCGGTTTCATTTTGGTTTCCTCCAAGCCAGCCGCAGAAAGGCTACCCTCAACAAAAGCAACTCATGTGAATCCAGATAGGGGGACTCCCAAAATGTTGGCCGTCCTTTTGGTTCCCCTTGACAAGGGTATCTTCAAAACGCAGACTTGGGCACATGCCATGCATGTGGTCGCGAGATGAGACCCCGAAAGCCAGGCGAGGACGGAGAAGATCAAGGTGCGGAGAGCTCCTGGTGGGAAGCCTGGGTTCAGGCTTTCTGTGATAAGGGAAGGCACTTTGAAGCGATCACGTCGTGTTGGGGCCCGGTGCCGGGCGTGACGAATGCTTTGTTGAAACCAAGGGATCAACCCCCGTGTGAGTGATGTCCGCTGAAGGGCCCCCAATGAAACAAAACACCTTTGGCCAGATGCGACGTCGAACATCGCTGCGACGGAGCCAATCTCAGAGAACTGGGGCTTCTTTTGCGTGACCTCGCCGCCAGTGACGATGACGTCAGTCACAGTTTTCATGTTGACTGGCTGAACCGTCCTTCAGAAACATCGAAAATATCGACCTTCATGATCCTAGGAGCAAAAGTGAACCAGCGCTGGGTTTTGGGTGCGGCTCAGGACGCGACCTTCACCTCGGCCACGAGCCTGGCGCGGGCTCCCTCAGCTCCCTCTGGCCTGGTGACGCACTGGCAGTCGCCAGGCAGGTCTTGAACCTCCAGCCCAAATCTTTTCAGGAAGCAGCCAACGACCTTGGCTAACGCACAAGCATTGTCACTTGAGTTCTTCAAGTGCAGGGTCTGGTGGATACCCACCTGGGTAAAGCCAACAGCCAATGCGTTTGAGCTCCTCCCAAATTTGCATAGTCAGACGTCTACAGGTGAATCTGCATTGCAGGAGAAAAGGTTGCACCTAATGTCGACCCCAGAATCAACCTGGCAGATTACTAGGGGCTGGTTCCCGCAAAATACGAAGGTTTCCCTCCTAAATGGCCAATCAACCAGGGTTTGTTGATCCCGGGCGCTTGGTTGACTCATTAGGGAGACTGATGGGGGGTGTCGTAAAAAAGTCAAACAAACAAACATCACTTTTGAGAGCGGGGCACCACCGGAACAAGAAGGTTGCAAAATTGCAAAATTGCCCCCAATTTTCGCCATACGGACATCCTTCTATTGATTAGCCAGAGGTGTACTCCTGGGTCCAAATTCAGAAAGACGAGGCCGACCTTTGCAACGAAGCTGGCAGGTCCCCGTCACAGCACTGGATCTACTTGAGCTCGCAAAAGTTTGCACGCCGATCGTGCAGGGCGAGAGAGAGAGAGAGAGAGAGAGAGAGATGAAATTCGTGTCACCCACCTTCCGAGAAAGAAAAGCTGATGCCTTTTCGGTGTCACCATCTTTGTCCACAGCGTTTTCAGCGCCATCTGAATGTGCCACAATTTCAAGCCGAAGGTGGCAGATTGGTTCGTGATCCATCTGGTGCGGCGCCCCTGCGCCCGCAAGCCGGCTGTGGTAACGACTGGACCTGACATGGCGCGGCAGCCCGGCCGTGAAAGACTTTGGCAGTCCGCCTTGGGTTCGGCGGCGGCCTTTGGGGCAAATCCCGGGAGTTTGGGGAAGGTTTCACAGCAGGCTGCCGCGCCCAGGCCAGGGATGAGGAAATAGGTGCTGAAGCGCATTGCGACATTGCGGCATTGCATCACATGTCCTCAATTTGAGTGTGAATTTAATGTGGAACCTTTTGGTGGACATCATCTAGGGGATTGTGCACCAGCTACTTTTGAGGTGGTCCCGCACCAAACCATGAAGCCACTTTGCTCAACGCCGAGCAATCCCAACAGCCATGACGCAAGGACTTTCAGTATGAGTTCTAGACTGGGGCCGGTCCACAATCGTTTGCCCTCCAAGTATGTGGTTGCTTCCACTTCTTTGGATGCCCAAGTGCTCTCCTGGGCGGTTCTGTCACGCCTGGCAGTTCTTGCCGCGTGCGTGGTGTCTGATGTGGTCCTCCCGGATCACCAGCCGGATCCTTCCGTGGCCAGGCCTACAAATCCGCCCTGGCTCTTGCGGGCCTTTACCCGCTGGGACGCCTCGCACTTCCTGAACCTTGCAACCTATGGCTACCGGCAAGAGAAGGACCTGGCATTCTTCCCCCTGTTGCCACTGGTCATGCACTGTCTGGCGCGCTTGCTGCAGGGCATTTTCACTTGGGATGTCTCCGTGGTGGTGGCTGGGCTGCTGATCACAAACGCCTGCTTTGTCCTGTCCGCGTGGTTGCTCTTTCGACTGAGCCTGCTCGTGCTGAAGGAGCATGCCCTAGCCCTCAACGCAGTTTGGATCTTTTGCATCACACCAGCAAACGTGTTTTTCAGCAGCGTGTACACAGAAAGTCCGTTTGCAGCATGTACTCTGGGAGGGCTGCTGCTCCTGCAATTGGACCGTTTCTACGCCAGCGCTGTGATCTTCGGGCTTGGGGCGAGTCTGCGATCCAACGGGATCTTGAATGCTGGATTCCTGGCTCACTACGTCCTCCTCGCGTGCTTGAAACAACCCAAGGCGGAGCTGGTCAGAACCTGTTTTCACGGGATTCTTAGGTTGAGTGTCGGGCTTGCACTTGCACTGACCCCCTTCGTGACCTTCCAGGCATACACAGTTTGGAGGGTGTGCTTTGATCAGTCTGAAGAATGCGACGCATCAGACGGAGCGGCTGCAGTGGCGCCGGAGATTTGCCAACAGGTGATCCCCAATGCTTACAGTTACATTCAGGCCAAGTACTGGCAAGTGGGCCTGTTCCGCTATTGGCAGATCAAGCAGATCCCAAACTTTCTGCTGGCCTTGCCTGCCTTGGTCCTGACGGTGGCTGGCGTTATACGTATATTGTACGACTTTTGGGACGAGCTGCGACGCAGAATTGCCAACAGTCAGGGCAAGCCTGTGATTTTCAGAGCGGGCTACACAGCCCTGACTCGATGCCCCTTAGTGCCGCATGCGCTCCATTGGGGTTTCCTGGCTGCGTACGTCTTCTTTTGTGCGAATGTGCAAGTTGCTACACGCCTGCTGACCTCTGGTTGCCCCATCTTTCACTGGTTCCTGGCATCCCTGCTGAACAGCCGCCGGAACCCGTTGAAGCCGTGGCTCAAGCTGTACCTGGGCTTGTATAATGTCCTGGGTGTGATTATGCATCCCAACTTCCTGCCCTGGACATAGAGCGCCCTCAAAGCATCAGATGGTTCGCCGCTTTACCGCAACGATCCGCCGGATCCACACTGGCTCCGATTTGCTTCTGGAGTGGCGCGGCCAAGCTCAGTGGAACGAGAGCCATGAACCCGCAGCAATGAAAGACCCCCCTTGCAGTCCAGAGCTTTCATAGCTAGCAAAGGAGGGAGAAAGTGCCGTGCTGAAGCCAAGAAGACTTCATAGGAGAGACTTGTGCTTTTGGTGTTCTGCATATCAAGTAGACTGCTGGCGTTTGGCTCAGTGGTGAGCCACTTAGAATCGGCAGAGAGCCGGTTGCAGGGGTGGCGTTTGCCACACCGCTCAGCGCGAGCCATGGCAGACATGGAGACTTCTGTCTCCTTTCCGGAAGCCGTGACCCCGGTAGAGGAGCCGATGTGGGTGTGACCTTATGGTTCGCCCCGGGTTTCCTGGAGCTAACCGAACGGATCACACGTTCCACCTCCCGCTTTTCAGAACAGGTGAGGCGCTGAGGTAGCCTTCCACCAGCCTGGAGCGAGAGAGGGGGAGAGCCATGTTTCGAGTCGAGGTTTTCGGAGCGTCAAACCCCATTGTCCACCAGGGTTCCGTTTTGGGTACCTATTTTTGACCCACAGCCACTTGTGAGCCTTTGAGTTTGGGAGGAGTACCAGCGGCTGGAGCCTCTGATCAACGAGCCCTTGAAGGCAGGATCTCCAGGCGAAGCGCGCGAAGCGCTTGCCACGAAGCCATGGCAAGGCCGGTTCCGCGTACTTCCTAGTCAACCGACGGTGGTGCGACCTGTTGCTTCTGGACACGGACTGGACGGACTGGACGGACTGGACCTTTTGTGCCGAAGGTACATGGAGTGGCTGCAGTGGGTAGGCACGGCGATCGCCCTTCTGTTTTTGTTGGGCTTCCGGTTTGGCCCGGTTCGGGCACTGCGGTGTGTGTGTTCGCAGTGCTGTGCTTCGTGGTTACTCATCTTAGCTACTTTCTTTCTTGAGGAGCTCCGAGCGTGCAAAGCCCTCAGATGCGGCCGGCTGATCCGCCGCTTGAAGGAGGCCGTTGCAAACGCGAAAACGTCTGGAACACATCTGGAGGTTAAGGGATAGTTCCCACTAGGTGCGGATATCCACCTTGATGGCTTTTCACAGTTTCGATCATGGCTCATCTGCCGCGCCTTGAGAGTTGGGACCTGCCGTCAGGGTTCGAGATGCTCTCCCAGGGAAGCGTGGGCAGTTCCCGGAAAAAGCCGCCGGGGCCTGAGCTATCCTCTCGCGTGGCAGCGACGGGAGCCGAATGACTTGACAGGCGGGCCAGTTCTTGGACCAAAGATCGCCCAGGGCAAATAGACAACAGCGAGCTGCTAGAGGAGCGCTCTGGGAGCTTCTCAATGGCCCCCTTTTTGGTGGGTGTTTCAAGGGAAGCCGAAAGCCAAAAGCCAGCCATTGCTTGCGAGAAATTCATATCTTTGAAAACACCCGGTGGTTGTGTCAAGGAAAACCAACAAACACCCCTGTTTGTGAGTCAAAGAGAGAGAGAGAGAGAGAGAGAGAGAGAGAGAGATAAAGAGAGAGGGAGAGAGAGAGCGACCGACTGGACCTTTGAGGAAGGCTCCTCAACTGCCATCAAGTCGACACTGGATGAGCACTCTGACTACAGGATTGTGCCAGAGGACCGGGTGCTTTGGCCCAGATGTCGTGAGAGCCCATTTTGGGCAACCAGACGTACTCCACATGAGCAACTCACGATGTGGGCAGTCTATTGTTGGTTTGGGGTGATTACCCGTAACAAAACCTAGTGGCGCGGGCCCACGTTTTTTGAGGAATCGAGCGTTTGTCATGTCTTCCCGTCAAAGGATTGTTCCTTGGACAGCCAAGCCGTTCCCAGATGCCTTGTTTGTCTGCCAGTTCCCCCAGCAGCGAGTTATTTGTTCCTCGACACCAGGACGCGTGGGACCTGCTGTTCGGTTGGTACGGCAGGGCGCTCCAGGAACGGGCTCCCTCATTGGAATCAGAGGTGTTAAAGTCACACGCAACATAGTGTTGCGGATGCTGAATCGAAAGGATGGTGTCTGTGATTTAAGCATCTCCTTCAATCTAGCAAGGTGGAACTGGGAAACCCAGATATTGCAAGCCGCAACCACCCTTTCTTGCAGAACACCAGCTTGCACAATGGACAGCGCAGTATGTATGCACAAAGCGGCTGATGTGAGAACCTTCATTTGGCTCGGCCGCACGGAAGCCAGCTGTTGTTCTGAAAAGGGCTCCTTGTGGTTTCCCAAAAGCTCAGAGCAACTAGTACTAAAACATACATCTACGCCATGACACGATGTCAATCTTCATGCCCGGGCGTGAACTCATGCCAGCCTTAGACGTTGATCAGCTCCCCGTTTAACTCGCTGAGGTGGAGGGCCTCCCATCAAGCGTCGGGCCATCACGCCGTCTTCTGGCGGAGTTCAGGTGGAGCTCTATGGTCTGTCTTTGAAGGCCGGGGACAAGAAGGTTTCCGGCACAGTGCTTGTTTGTTGACTCGAGAGGGTGTTTTTTGGTGTGTATGTATATATATATATATGGCTGGATCACGCCCCCTTTTCCCCTAGCCAGCCTGTTGATTTGGCGCTTTTCAACCTTTCAAGTGTCCAAATCATGTTGGAGGTCAGACACCCTGCATGAATTTCAGCAACAGGCCTTGCTTTGCTTTCGCCCGCAGGTTTACAGATCAACAGATTTGGCCGGAGTGCCTTTGGAGGCGGGAAATTCAAGAGTTGGACCACAAGCAGGTAACTTTTGGTCGATCCCTCAGCTGACTGGAACCAACAAAATACAGAAAACCCATTTTGGAGTTGGTATCCTTTTGGAGATCCCGTCCAGGGGGCTCCGGTCACGTTCCATGGTCTCCTCCGCTTCAATGCTCCAGCTCCGAAGGTCATCGAGTCCAAGTGCTGCACCATCCGGCAGTTGAAGGCGCATAGATCGATGGATCGATCTCTGCGTTTTCATGGATGGCAAAGGGGCCCCTCAACAGGGTTCACGTCTCAGCCTTCCCCCACCACCATTCGCAGAGTACCCCAATTTTGACACATACCCACTTCAACTGGTTTGGGGATTGCATTCTGGCCTGTTTCGCGGCCAGGCTGAGCTGTGCGCGCAACTGGGGATGGACGCCAGCAAGGTCGCCCCGCGAATCGCTTGAATGGTCCTTAAAAGAGAACCCATTTTGATTGGTGGGGAACGAAAACACGGCGTCCCCAATTACTCTGACAGTTGCCGGTCCATGGTTTCCAAGGGTCACCCATGCCCAGACCTTTGTGCTATGTGGCAAAAAGAACGCCCACATTTTGACGGGATCCTCTGTTTTGAGACAAAGCCTTCTCGAGTCGTTTCGCGAATCCTCATGGGGCAAAGCAGCCGTGCAGGTGCGGATCTGGGACTACTTCAACGAGAAGCCCTTTACGCTCTTGGAGTCGTACATGGACCGTCGGAAGATCTTCCCTGTTTCTTCCCGGGGTATCGAAGTACAAGTGGATGCATGTAAGCCGCTGGCAGACATGGATCAGGGACGATGCCATGATTGCGGGCAGTTTCCTTGTAAACTCATGTCCTGTCGGCCAGATGCCCGAATCTTGCGATTCTGTCCTGCCAATGTTATGGCTTATTTGTGATATAGGGACCCTTCTTGGTATCCCCTTTTTCACGGCGGCTGAAGGCAACACCAGGGCTCCAAAAAGGCGTCAACACCCATGTCACTCAAGCCTTGGGCATATCCTTACCCGATATTTTTCTTGAAGAGGCTTCACTCTCCGGCGAGGAGGACACATTGGAGAGCCGCCGCATCATGCAGCAGAACGAGATCCTGCTGGAGGAGCAAGAGGCAGACGGCTCCTGGAGCTATCGGGAGGCCTGTCTGAGCGCAAAAGCCTTCTGAGAAGATATCTTCTCAAGGCAGGTAGATTCAGTTTCCTGGCAACCAGGACTCCACTTCTGCTGTTGAGACCGCCTGGCGCTTGGAAAGTTTAAATGCGTTTGTTGGAGGAAGAGGCGTGCTTATGCATATGGTTACGTGGCACACTTGGAAAAGCCTGCAACTGTTGTTTTCCCGTCCACAAAGGGGGTTGCACTTTGACACGTTTCCACATTCACATGTGGCTCAGTACGGGACGTCAACGACAGCCGGCTACTCCTCCAACTGGCTGGCGTCGTCTGCATCTGATGTCCCGGTTGCCCAGCCCTGAGCCACACTAAGTGAGCATTGAGCTGTGGGCGAATTCAGAATATAACCATCATCATCACCATCATTATCATGAGCATCGTCCATCATCATCGTCTACTTCTTTTGCTCACTCAACATGCTCGGTGTCAAGCACCACCACGAAGTGGTGGTCATTGGTCATTGTGGGATGTTTCAGAGAGTGAGTTGTGTGAAGCTGCGAGCCCCCCCCTTCCCCTCCCTCCCCAAGGCCTTGCGCGTCGCTTCGTTGTGCGCAAAGGTGGGAGAACCAATCCAGCGGGGTGCAGTCGGATTGCAGAACTTGGGCAACACCTGCTTCATGCACAGGCCTTAGGCCCCATGCCTTTGCTGAGGTGCTTTGGAGATGACACCTAAACACACGCCCACACATTGTTTACTATAAGTATGTATATATATGTATGTATCGGTTGGGGTTCGTCAAGAGTTCAGTTCCACCTCCACTACCTTATGCTGGATCAAGTCGTTGAGGCATTGGAATTGGAATACTTTCTTGCATTCAGATTTGGCAATCTTGGCCTCTTTGGTGGCTGACACATACTCGTTAATCTGGGATTTTGCTCGTCTGATGCAGGAGAACAGCTGCAGCTCAGCCCTGTCTCTTAAAAAGGCAGGCGGTATCCCCAATAGCCCCAGTTGACGTTGAGCCTGCGGAGCCTTTGGAACTCTGTGCGCCTGCGTGCGTATGTGCGTGCAAGAGCGCTTGAGGCGAAGGCGAGATGGCAACCGCCCGCTGGTGTATGTCTGCGCACGAGCGCGCGCGCGAGTGATTCCGAAGGTTATAATCCGCATCCCACCCCTTGCCCCCCGATGGCGCAATGACAACATGTGCGTGGCAACGACAAACACCTTCACAGGTGAAACTTTTAACGGTTCTATGCGTATATGTACATACATGCATACAGTATATATATATATATATGTGATTAGCCATGTCTTAAACCATCACCTGGGATGTCGTAGTGACTGACCGGTGGTGTTTGGCTCAAGTTTGGATCCGGCGCGCCTCGGATGAGCGTCGCCGGGCCCTCACGTCGACCGCCTTCGTGTCGGAGGAGAAAGAGACTTCGGCCCGGGGTAGGTTGGTGGGGATCGCCCGTGCGGCTCATCGTCGATCAAGGTTGCGGGTATCCTTTTCTCTTTTGGTTTGTTTCCCTTTGGTTGTTGTTCTCTGGTGTGTGGGAAACCCTGATCTTTGGGACCGGGGATTGGTTTGCTTTTGGGGAACCTTTTTTTTGTGGCTTGTTTACCCCAACTAACCCATTGCCTGGGCACAGGCTCGTGCCCGAATCACAGGTTATCAGCCGTAGGACTTTCCTACGCGCTTGAGACCATCAACTACAAGCTCTATGTCTTCAGCAGGTCAGGACCGCAGGGGTGAAGATCCCGATAGGGACACACCCAGAAGCCGTGGCAGGTTCACTGACGATGGAGACGATCGTATTTTCCGTCAGGCCACCGATGATGAGCAAGCGCAAAGAGCTCGCCCCGATAGGAGCGGCTCTGAGTCAGGTCTCAGGCATGGACATTTGGACTTCATCAGCATGGCGATGAACATGGCCCGCCCTCATTCGGACGACCCGGAGGCCATGCCAACCCGACCCCCGAGATCTCTTGTTCCAGGTGAATCGCAGGTCTCGGATGAGCTCGGGGACAGGCCGCGGGGACCAGGAACCATGTTTCTGGCTCCGAGAGATATCTCGGGTCAATCCACCGGCTCTCAAAATCCAGGTCAGTTTGATGAGCATGAGGAGAGGAAGTTCACAGGCATCGGACACGATGCTCTGTTAACATCAACCGCAGGCTGGGGCAGTAGCGCGAAGCAGGAGTCTGATGCCGATAGGCCTAATCCTGCTGCTGCCAAGTTTGAGTTTGATAATGATGAAGATTTTGCCGCATTTGCGGATCGTCGTGATGAGGAAGAAAATTTGGCGCGCCGAAGTGAAAGAAGCCGTGCTGCTGCAAGGCCCAGGAGTCCATTACATTTGGAGGTCCGCTGCATCAGAGAGACGAGAACGCGAACCGGGTTACTGGTTCGCCGAGGGTCACTGAGCGGGCTGCCGAAGTAGTTGAAACAGGTGCGAGGGACGGTCGGCTTGCCAATGCACTCGGGATCGAGGATCGTCCGTCGATCGCTAGCCCGTTAGGGCGAGATCCCAGCGACCTCGAACCGCTAAGGTCTAGCAATGAGTTCACTCCCCAATGGGGATCGGCCGCTAGGGAACGTAGTTATTCGAGGAGAAAGTGCTGAAGGAGACTGGACGGGAGTCTGGAAACTGGGTGAGTAGTGACCAGGCCGTCTGGTTCCTGAGAGAGATCGCGGGCATGGAGAATGCCGAGATGACGTGGAAGTTCTTCATTCCGGCGATCAAAGCTTTCCCGATAGGGCAGGTTGAGGTGATGCTCATGATCATGTATGATGGGAATGGTGTCCTCCCCAGGGAGTGCACCAGGTTGGTGGCCGTTAGGTACACGCGGATCGGACGAGACATGAGTTTCGGTTCTGTGAGGCAAAGATACACGCAAGAGGATGCACCTGGCGGGTCTCTGATGTTCGAGATGCACTGGAATGAAATTCCTATGGTAGGGTATGTCATCATGAAGTTCTTGGACTTCAGGAAGGCGGTCCAGCTCCAAAAGGTGAGACGGAATGGAAAGGCCATGATCGAGATATTGATCACAAGGCCCGATGAGTACGAATCAATTGGAGATGGGAGGCAGGATGAGGGTCTGGTTCCAATTGCGGAGGAACTACTCAGGTAGGTACGTGGTGGTCATGGTGGACCTTCGGGTACATTGGTCGCTGGGGGTGCGTGGAAGGCTGCGTACATGTTCGATGATTACACGATAGTGTATCATCGGGCTTGGGACTATGGTGACTTCACTCCCGATAGGGGGGAGCACAAGCGGTCGCGTGCGGAAGTCAGGTTGAACGTGACCAGCACCTTCTGTTTGAGGTGCGCGGAGATGACGCCAAATGGGATGCATTTGTGCCCTGGGTGTGCGCTCCCGGTCTTCTACCCGAACTTCATCCCCAACGCGGACGAAGATGAGAGGAACCTGATTTCCTATTCGATGGCGTCTGACCTGAGGATGACGGTGCAGAGCGGCATTCGGCTGCCCCCTTATCTTGGTGAGGACAGGGATGAGCTGGCGAAGGTACTCTTTCAGTTCTCCTATGTGTCGGGGATTTCGGCCTCAGATGCATTCGTGGTTAAGGCGAAGCACCTGATCAAGACCAATCAAGTCGATAGATTTGAGTCGGTGACTGAGTACTTCCGAGCGAACCCGATGCATGCGGCTCAGTGGGGTAGACGTATGACGACTTCTGTTAGGAAGTTTGCCCGTCATGACACGTACTTGTCCTTCTATATCCGATGGCGTACGTGATTGGTGCTGCGGCGGGTCATCTGACTCCCTTGTATCCGACCCACCGGAAGGACGTGGACGTCCTGGCTAGCCATGCATTGATAGCGGATCTCAGGAAGTACATGGTCTCAGCAACGGGGTACGATGAAAAGAAGAGATTGAGGGAGGCGGTAGCCAAGGTGCAGAAGGCGATCAGTGCTGGGCAATCAGAGCCTCCTGCCCCCTTCCGTGACCCATTCGTTCACGTCAGTGACGAAAGGGTGAGGACGGTTCTTGACGGTCGTCAACCGGAGCCGTTGAATGTGAACGTTGACGAGCTCCAGTCGGTGCATCATGCTGCACAGGGTCCTGGTCCTAAGCAGGAACCGTTCGTCAAGGGCGGAAAAGGAAAAGGGAAGAAAGGAGAGAAGGGCGGTAAGGGCGGTAGTCCTTCCGGCCCACCACCGAAGTCGGGAGACGTGTCAGGAATAGGGTCTGGTAAGGGCGATAGCCCATCCGTTCCGAAGGCAAAAGCAAAGGCTGATGCTGGGCCGGCTCCGATGGAGGTTGATACACCTGCGGCTCAACCAAAGAAGACTTGGGTCGCGATAGCGGTTGAAGGAGCCCGGCCGAGTGCAAAGGCTAAGATGACTCCGGTCCCAAAGGGCGAGCCAAAAGGCAGCTTCAGTTTCTGAGGCGAAGGGAGCTTCAGCTCCGAAGGCTGAGCCTAAGGAGACGAAGCAGGCCAACCCGAAGGTTGATGTCAAGAAGGAGAAGGTAGGCGGAGAAGACGCTCCCGGCGGTAGTCGGGGGTCGGCAGAAGGACAGAAGAGAGAAAGGAAGTCCCGTTGGGATCCCGATGAGACTGTGAAGGAGTCAACAAAGCGGGAGGCATCCACAAGACCTGATGATGTTGACAGTAGGCCAGGTGCGGCGGCAAGAGAGGCAAGTGGAGATGATCTTCACTCCGCGCTTGGTAGGTCTTCGGTGAAGGACGCGGTAGCGCCCTCGACGGCCTCTAAGGCAATGGCAAGGAAGCCTGAAGTTGGTGAAATCAGGTTGCAATCGGCTGAGCGAGCTGCAGCGAGCTCGGTGGAGGGTCATTTGCTGGTATTACCAGAGAGTTCGGTGGTGGACGCCTTCCTGTCGGTATCTTCCAACAGGGTGCTGAACAAGCAGGTCAGAGATTTCATCAGGAATGGTGAGGATGTTTCAGCGTTGGAGGCTCTCAATCAGATCGTGACGAACTCTCGCTCTGGAAGAAGGCGTCGGGATTCGGATGTTTCACGCACTCCTTCTCGGGGGTCCGTTAGGACCGTGGACAGCAGAGATTCCCGAGAGTCGAGAAGGCGCAGATATCGTCCGCGGCGTGACGAAGATCGGGACCGGAGGAGGGACGATGCTCGAGATCGTCGTGGTGATGATTCGCTCGATCGGGAGCGGGATCGAAGGCGAGATGATCGCAGGAGATCCGAAACGGATCGTGATAGGGACCGTGCGCGGGGCGGACGTGACCGGAGGAGACGTGACGATAGCCGATAGGCTGAGTCACGAGGATTGCGGCCGATAGGCTTGCGTCCATTCTCCGATGGTCAGCGCGGTGCGGAGGTGGTGATGTTCCTCCCGAACCGCTGAGGCGCGGAGATCATGTTTCTCCCGTACCGCTGCTCGGCTGCTGGTCGTACTCCTCATGAAGTAGTATGAGTGAGAGAGGAAGCAAGCTGGTGGAGGATACTTCCAGGTTTGCGGAATTCAAGCATTTTTCAGGTACGCATGGTCGGGGTACCTCTTGCCGATAGGCGAGGGTACTGGTGAACATACGTTATCCTTTGTTTCATGGCTTCTGATAAGAATTGAACTACTTGCATTGTTGATGCAAACAGTTGTGGCCTAGTGCCGTCATGTGGACTCTTCCACAAGGTGTGTTGGACAGCGTTACCCCGATTAATTCGGGGTGGTGGCGGGATTTTAATGCCCGGGACGTCGCGCAACTGCCTTTGTGGGTTTGCTCCACCGCTGACGGCGGTAGTGTCCAGCTGTTTGCGGATACATGCGAGCAGTTAAATCCTATCAGTAAATGGCACGCTCCACCCGTCATATGACGGGCTCCTCGTGAGGGGTGTGTGATTAGCCATGTCTTAAACCATCACCTGGGATGTCGCAATAGTGACTGACCGGTGGTGTTTGGCTCAAGTTTGGATCCGGCGCGCCTCGGATGAGCGTCGACGGGCCCTCACGTCGACCGCCTTCGTGTCGGAGGAGAAAGAGACTTCGGCCCGGGGTAGGTTGGTGGGGATCGCCCGTGCTGTTCATCGTCGATCAAGGTTGCGGGTATCCTTTTCTCTTTTGGTTTGTTTCCCTTTGGTTGTTGTTCTCTGGTGTGTGGGAAACCCTGATCTTTGGGACCGGGGATAGGTTTGCTTTTGGGGAACCTTTTTTTTGTGGCTTGTTTACCCCAACTAACCCATTGCCTGGGCACAGGCTCGTGCCCGAATCACAATATATATATACATATATATATATATATATACACGCAGACATATGTGTCTTGTAGTAGCTTTGAACACAAGTATGATGGCAAAAGCGATGGCCTGGCTAGACACGAAATGCACCGACACCCAACAGGGGCCTGTCAGAAGAAGGTGGTGGGTCATATTCCGTCCAGTGAGAGCCACGGAGTCCAAGCCAATGAAGCAACAGCAACATGCTTCCCAAGTGATTCTTAGCTTTAGAATAGGTCTTCACGCTGAGCGGTGGTGTGCCACCATGATGATCGGATTGCCGAGGAATAGTTCAATTCAGTGCCTCTCCAACATCCCGCAGCTGCGGGAATTCTTCCTGACAGGCACCTACAAGGCGTCCCGACTCTAATGCCAGCAGAACTGAGTTGTAAAACACTTTGAGCAGCTCGCTTTTCTGATTGAGCCTGCATTTTTTTAATTATCTCTTTTGGCTCAACCCGCATTGCTACAGATCTTGCTTCAGAGAAATGTCTGCAAGTGCTGCACCGGGCTTGTGTCCAGCACGTGAGGCCGCGCTGAACCCCACCGCTCACAAGACACACGGCAAACTTGCAGAGACCTTTGCCGAACTGCCCTGCCCTCGGTTTTCGTCAGTGGCTTGAGCTGACGCGTTTGCACTGAAAGGTTGGAGCTGATGTGGAAGGACAACACCATCAAAGCAGCTTGCACAGTCGACCGACAGCTGCAGAATGAGCGTGTGCAGTGCAATCAACACGAGGGCGACTGGTGCAGGGGTTTACCAAAGCAGAGGACCAGACAAATGGTAGTTTCCTTTGGGTTTCGTTTAGACACCAATCAGAAGAGGTTCATTTCTTTGAGAACTCCGCGTACGTTCTTACCCCCATCGCCCAAGGCGCCGTGTTGCCTCTCAGGTGGCTCCGAGGAACTTCAAGTGGCAGGCGCCAGACGAGTCCGTTTGGCAGGGAAGACATGAGCCCAGGAGCCGAAAAGACGTAAATCAGTCGACCTCGGGGTTTGCTCCAAAAACTGAGCCCTGACTTTGCCAATTTGGTCGTGTCCCCATCGTGTGGGGACCTCATGGCCGCGCCAGGTGGGCCAATTTGCCGAGCAGTTCAGCGGGTATGGCCAGCAGGAGACACTCAAACTGTGGGACCCAGAAGGATTTGTTGAAAGGGAGCTCCCAGACAGGCATTTCTCTTGAGCAACGCCGTGGTATTGAACAAACAAAAGCACGCAACGAACACCGCCATCTCGACCACCGCCATCACGAAGCACCCGAGCTTGCTGTGGCTAGCAGGACTCCATGGAGTTGATTGAGTATGTCCTGGATGGCCTGAAGGAGGAGAGACGTGAGTGAGTCCTGATCTAAGCCGAAGCGGCTGAAGACTTGCTTTTCCTCAAGCTGGAGGCTCGTCTTTTGCTCGTGCGGGTCATCGAAGCGGGGGCGTGTCCGGCGTGTCCGGCGTGTCCGGCGTGCGAGGACTGCAACTCGGTGCAAGGCTGCAAGCCGTACATCGAGCTGAAGGAGGCGGAAATTGAAGGGAAACCAAAGAACACCGTTTTAGCGGGCCTGGACAGCCCATTTCAGAAGGTTCTGCGCTGAAAATACAAAACGCGTAAGAAAGGCCCCGAAGCAATACGTCACGCTTGGGATATCCCATACAAACTCACCCCCCCAAACGCGCCTCCTAGATAAGACTGAGCTCAACGTTCAACGTGACTTTCGGTGGTCGGTGGGCTTCAGGAACAGTCCCATGACCATGCTACTTTTTCGGCTCACCATAGCACGTGGCAACGTGCAAAATGCATCTTAAAAACTTGCCTCACTCCACGTCATCGACTCGGCTGCAGTTCTTCAGGTTGTTTCGCTATGCAGAATCTGTACCGTGCTACGCTGATCGTTTTGCTTGGCCAAGAGCATGTAAGGTTTGGTCAACAAAAATCCAGTCCGATTGAGTCCCGTTGAGCCATTTGGCTCCAGAGCCGCCAGGTGTTCTTTCCGATTTGGGAGCTGTCCACTTACCAGGGTCAGGGCTCCAAGTGAACCATCAAGGGCGGGGTGAGCAGCCGCGGTATGGCGCCGGGCAGGTTGGGACTTATGCAAAGAAGCGAGTGGAGCACATAAACAATGGCTTGGTGCCCTGCGACTAGTTGCTCTACACCCCCCCCTCCTTTTCGGGATAGAAAAGCCCAGCCCACCAGGCAGGGCACGGTTTGTTTCTGTGGAGCTCCTGGACAAAGAGGGGGGTGAGATTCGCGCGAGCTTTTTCAACGAGGCCGCAGAGAAGCTTTACGATGTCATGCGGCTGGGCAGATGCTTTATGCTGAGCAAGGGGAGCACTCGTGTGGCGAACAAGCAGCACAACATCTGCAAGCGCCTCTACGAGCTGGTTTTTGACAAAATGTGCCAGGTTGATCCGGGACACAACGACAGTTCCCCACAGGTTCTGCCCTTCAGAGGATAAGAAGGCCATGACGGCGTGGGCTGGCGAACGCAAAAGCACGAGGCCTTGAAGGACCAAAGAATTCAAAGTCGCTTGGAGCTGAGCAAGAGAGCGAAGCCTGGGAAGGCCCAACGAGCCAGTCAAGCAGCGTTTGGGGAAGAGCTGGACGGCGAGGACCTCGAGCGAAGCCTCAGACAGCCCGTCAGCAAGGCAGCCCCACCTGCGCGAAGCCAGACACCTACAACGGGGAGATGAGGACCAACGTCACCTGTGTGGCCTCGCAGGTGGTGCCAGTCAAGGAGCACTCACGCTTGATGCTCAAGGATTGAGGAGCTCCTACCATCCAAGAAGCAAGTGCTGGAAGCGCACGCCGAGGAGTCCCAGGCCAAGGTGGTGGAGAAGAAGCAGCAGGCCTTGGGCCACGCGGATTTTGCTGCAGGGCTGCATGCAATTCGCGATCGCTGCCCGGCCTTGCCGTACTGCGGCCAAAGCAGGCGAAGTGATAGACCATGATTTGGCCGGACGCCGAGCGGACTCTTGAAACTGCGCTCCTTCTGGAGAAGTCGTGTTAGCTGATCTGAATTCAAAGGGTTTTTCTAGCATGTCAGAGCACGGGCCGATCAAGCCTGATTTGCCGCACATCGCGACTAGGGGCCACTGCAGCAATCTGCAGCACGCTCTGCTGGCCTAATGCCGCCATGGTGGTCAACGGCACCTCCAATGAGTTCATGGCTGGTAGTGAAATATCGCAGTTACAGCATCGTGTACAGAATTCGGAGATGCTTGGTTGATGGTGAGTTTCGCTGTTTCTTGCTCTTCGGCTGGAGCCTGCTTCAGCGCGGCAAACATGTAACCCCAAACAAACTAAACACGTTTACATGCACCTGCACTCTTGCGCGTATTGTGTTTGTACACGCGCCATACATATACATGACGCAGGATAGAATTTATGCAGTGGACAGGCCATGTTGAACATGGCTGCTTTAGAACTTCAGACCTCCTTTCTTCTTTCAGCTTCCTCGCGCCTGCCAGCTGCGCCAACCAGGCAGACGGGCGACCGGACGCGGAGGTGGCCGCGGAAGCGCCGGGGGCCTCTGAAAGAAAGGACGCCGGCCAAAACGCCGTCCCTAACATGTTCCTTAGAGTCTTGTGGGTGTTGTTCTTTGGGTCTTCCTCTTAAACACTATCCACGGGGGGTGCGAGATTGGAACAGATCCCTGCATGTTGCCACGTTTTCAAAAAGAGAGGCCGACCTGAAGCTGTTTCTATCACTAGGATCCATGCTCTATAGGAAACCAAGGGGCACCGGCTCTGCCATGTTTGGTTTCTCAGGTTGTCGGCCTACCGGCAGCGCAGCAGCTCGCGGGTGGACGACCTCTTTGTAGGCATCCCCAAAAATTGGGGTGGGGCCGGGGGTTGGGCTAGGGGGTGGGGCCAGGGGTGGGTGTGGTAATTGTTAAGGTGGAGAGGGGTTGCTTACAGATGGTTGGTCATTCTTGGTTGAGTGCGTGCTCGGTCTTTGTTCAAGCTCAGGGGAATACCTTACTCAGTTTTGCCAAGGGCAAGCAGGAGAGTTTCAGTGCGCCTTCGCCCTCCCTCCGTGTTGGCTGCAGTTGAACATGGGCTTAGCTCGATTTTGTTTTGCAGTTTGATGCCTTCACAGAACGGGTCGCAAACCTGACCGTGACCCAGACCTAGTTTCTACCCGCATACTCACCGAATCGCATTTTTAGAGGACATCAGCAGCAAACCATTTTGAGAGGTCACCCCCGCCCGCCACTCTTCGACTTGATGGAAGCGGCGCGGAGACAGAATTCATACCCAGTTGATGGCCTGGCTCAAGGGAAGCATGGGGTTCTCGCGGAAGCCTTCTCCCATGCCAAAATCAGATCGGCAGATCCGTGCAGATAGGCACCGTGGAACAGAGAACCAGTGGTCTCCCTTGTTGAGTTAGACTCAACTGTGTTGGGGATTCATGTTGGGGGGGGGTTCATGTAAAATTTGCTTGTTTCGATTTGCACTCATTTCCAGGGGTTGCATTGGTTTGACTGCCCGGCTTTTGCAGGCCTGTTCAAATCCGTGGTGCGCTGCCCCGATCTTGGGTGCCGCGCTTGTTGGGGTTCTCGCGCAAGGGGAGTCACGCGCGACTTTTGCGTGTCTCAAAGTTAGCACTTGAAAGGTTCCGTAGTTTGAGACCTAGTTAAATCCCGCACTCTTTAAGGGTGTGTCTCTAGATATCCCGCAAGGATGGTTTGGTTCGGCGTGGAGATGTCCGGAACCCTTCTGCAATTAGTTCTGTGAAGCACTTGAATGGTCATCCGGCCCGAATGTTGGTTCACTCAAGGAAAATGCAGATGCGTCTTTTCTCGAGCGGCTCATGTCCAGGTGCGGACGCACCTCTGTGACCTTCGACCCCTTCCTCTCCGCCAAGCTTTCGCTGTCCAGCTCTGCCGGAGCTCCGGAGCTGGAATCCCTCCGCACCAAGCTGTGGTTTAGGGCTTGACCCAAAAAAAATCGCAGCGTCCACACTTGCACACCTTGGGCCCGAGTGGATTGGCCGTCTCAGGGTTGGAGGCTTTCGGAGATCTTGGTGTGGATGGACCCCTGTGCCTGGTGGGCAACCCCCTGTTTGGATGATGTGCAAGGTAAATCAGGGGAATAGCACGCGAAAAAGACAGTTCCATCCTAGAACAATTTTCAGTTTCTAAACCTCTGCTTTCAAGCAGAGTCGCCTGCAAGAGGGTTCCAAACCCAGTCGACACTCAAGCTCTTGGCAGGAGTGCGGCAAGGTATCTTGAATTGCCGGGAATCGCCGAGATTGTCGATTCATTTAGGATTCCGTTAAAACAATTGCATTTCCAATTCTTGAGCTCGCAGACGTGTCGGCTGGACCCCAAGACGTATGCCAGTCTGAGGCAGAGCAGAGACAGACGTCTGTCAGTTTGGTGCTGGCCGTGGTCTCAGAACGGGCCTGTGCATAGGCCGGCTCAAGCAGCTTTCCAAAAGGCGCAAAAGAGACGCCCAGTTTCTCAGTTTCTGTCTTTCCTTTGTGCCTCTTCAGGCCCTGGCCTTGCATCGGGTTTCAAGAGTCCGAAGAAGCGTGGACCTTTTTTCTTCGTTTCACCAGCCCCACCTGATGAGTAAACGTGATGGCAGCTGGCAGCCGAAAAGGAGGGCGCAAGGGGGTTCGCTATTTTGAAGGGTGCCCCTCTGATTTCTCTTTCAACAGCATTCAAAAGGGTTCCCCCATGTTAAGACATGTGTCAAACTTACCACACACCAAAGAATCGCTGGCTGAACCCCAAAGGAAACCGAGCGCAAGCCGAACATTCGGAGGGGTCCAGAAATTTAGAGCTTTCCATTTGACACAAACGCTTGTGGCTTCACCGAGGTTCGGGACTGCGACCTGGCGACAGAGGCCTACCAGCAGGCATGGGCATGCCACTTGGGGCCGGGCGGGGGGGGCTGTCGAGTCTAAGATTGTGGCATGGAACATGTCAACATGAGGGTTGCTTTTCTTTTGGTTGCCCTATAAACCGTTACAAGGAGTCACTTGGTGACAATGTCATCATATGAAAAGCTCCGCACAGAATCCAAACGAGCAAAGCACACGGTGTACAATGAGTTCGCCTCGCTGATTTAATCCGGATACGGCCAGGGCCAGAATGGATCCGTATAGCCATGTCGCTGCAACCCGACCAACTAACTCTTGCGCGGGCATGGGCATTTGTCAGTGGTTTTCAGTATTGGAGCAATTTCGCCGCTAGGTCAAGGTGAAGGTGAACAAGGAAGCAAGTGCAGCTCGCTCAGTTTTTTCAAGGTGCCCAAGGGAACTCAAGTGACTGGCTTGGTTCGGATTCTAATTTTGGGTGTGGTTTTGTACAGGATGCAGTTTCTTCCGGCTGCTTTCAAAGGAAACCAACCTGCTGCCATCCATTTCGCCGTTCCCCAATTTGGAGCCAGACCCACAACCTTGTTGCCAAGGTCAAGGAACTCATCGAAGCAGCGGCAGAAGAGGTTGGTGCAGGCAGGCACATGACTTTCTGGTACTCCGCGTGGATGTGCCAAACAACATGTAGATGAGTCGTAGAGCTTTGGGGAGATTCTTTCATGTGAGCCTGGAACAGGCAGCCATCAAGGGCTTGCAATGAAATTTGCCATTCGCCCGAAGTTTCACTCAATTCCGCAGCACATGGGTCGCCGCGATTCCATGCGGAGATGCTCCATTTCGCTGCGCTTTGAGGTCTCAAGCCTTCCAGATGCATGCTGGTGGAGGTTTGGAACAAGAAGGCGCCTTCGCCGGTAAAGCCCATTGGCTCTTACTTTGTTCAGGGTCTCAGAAGGCAGCACTACCCAAGGTCTTGTAAACAGCCATGATTGGCTGCTAGGGAATGGCGGGATTTTGCTTTCCGGTGTTCCCTTTCCACCGCGCAGCTGACAGGTGTACAAATTCTTCGAGGAGCCCGACTCCATAGAGAACATCCGCGCTGAGGAGACTTCAACTGCCGACTGGCATTATGTCGTTTCTGCATTTTTTTGGGGTGACCCCGGGGGAGGCTTGAAGGGAAGGACCTTGCCAGGACCACCTGCTTCTCAGTGAAGTCTCTGATGCCAAAGCTTTCTGCAAGAGTGGGGAGCAGCGTGGTCTCCTCAGATTCCGCGACACGTGATCGCAGCAACGCGACGAGAAGATGCTTCTGGTAGAAGATGCACATTTTTGAGAGTGCGCCGCAGCATACGGGGATGCGTCAAGAACGGGGGCCTTGTTTGCTAAAAGGAGTCGCCATTCCCCCCCTCTTTTGCACTCCTGCCAGTGCCCAAATGCGTGCGAGGCTGGGGCTCTACATACATCACCAATAGCCTGGATGATGACTCCGGCGGCCAGACGCCAAGAGGCCATGGCGAGGTGCCGGTTTCGTGTAGCACCTGAATTGATAGCTCGGCATCATGCGTGCGGATATGGTGAAGCATATCTCGTGCTTGTAATCCTTCAGCGTGCTTGCTGTACCAACCAGGGGCTTTGGCTCCTGATACACCTTTCCCAGTGTTTTGCCTGGCTGAATCGCTTGCGAATGAGGCGGCGGTGCATCACCGAGCTCGTCGTCCTCGTGCGGCGTCATTCTACACCACAGGAAGGCGCGTGAAGAGGGACACATGGGAGGAGCTGAGGTGGATCTTTTTGGGTAGCATGAAAGATGTGAGTTGTTTGTACAGCTAGTTGGTTCTCAAGGATGGATCTACCTGTGTGTGAGGGAGTGCATGTGGGACTTTTGCAGGCGTCTTCCAACTCTATTCGGCGTGACTCGTCTCCGCTTGGTCGAGAGCTGAGCACCGAAATCGGGCATGGGCAGAAAATGTTCAGAAGAGCAGATGCTTTCTTTGCGATTGCCAGGACAGCGGTTCGGTGATATGATACTGAGAGTGGCACCAAGCGAGTGCAACATGAGATTCTTGCCATACGAGTTCGCGTGTTCGTGGTGGCCTGTGGCTTGTGCTTCCGAGGTGTCCCACTTTTGATGACTATCCCAAAGGATGTGCCGCGCCGAGTGTCACATGCCAGTGCCAAGAAAGCCCGCCGATGCAAAGTTCAAGAGGAAAATAAAGTTGACACTTCTAAGTTGTAAGTCACAGCCATGAACGAAGTTTACGGGGACCCTTCCATTTATTGAGATCCCCTGTCCACTCACATCCAAGGCCACAGCTCGCCTGCTATACAAGCAGGCCGGAATCGCTACCAGAGATGTGTCCCATGCCGTCCATATTAAGAAGGCCCTTTGAACCCTCAAGTCCGTTCTTAAAAACTCCATCAGTACATCAGTGGGTCATGTCGTCATGTTTCCTGGTCTAGAGATCCCTCTCAGAGGTTGGCCCTCCAACCCCCTCCTTGCTACGGGTGGCCCTTCAGCGCTCAGGTGGATCGTTACATCAAAAGGCTGGCCGGGGAGGTGGACAGCGCCCAGGCCTCGGACTCGGGCATCGAACTGCTTACCCTCCCGACTGACCCCTGTATCCCTCGGGGCCTCGGGGGGAGGGAGGGGAGGAGCCCAAATAAGCCGCCTTCCTAAGTTGCTAAGGGCTTCATAAGGGCTTAGTTGGGCTCCCTCCCCCTCCCCTCCCTCCCCAGCCCCCATGACTGTAGAACGACGACTTTCCTCTTGGAATGAGGGTTTGTTCACTTCCCTACTTAGTTGGTGGGAGGGTATTGTGCTCAACTTTTGAGGACCAAAAGGAAAACCGCCATGAAATGGGAAGCCCCCCAGAACGGGAACCCCGGACGAAGGAACCCCTTGAATAGGGCGGGGGTCGAAGATGTGGGGGAGAATCTGGTCGACTACTGGGATTGGTTTAGTCAAATCTACATGGACACAGCCACGAGTTCGTGTAAAGAATCCGCAGGGTGCATATTTGGGGCATGGTTTGTGGGCTCGAATACCAAGCATCATGGCGCTGAAGGAAGGTACTGAAGCGACCAGCGGGTGCTTACCATCCCAACCCCTCCCACCCCCCACCCTCCCCCGCCATTCAACAACTGCTTGCGCGCCTGTTGTGTGAGAACATGTTCAGCACCAATTGCCACAGCTTGTGTCCGGCCACCGTCCACCTTCTCCGTTTTATGTGTGTGCCTGCGGGTGCTTGTCATCTCCACACCCCCACGAAAACTTCCCCGAACATTCACCAACTGCCACGCCCTTGTGCGTGCGGGTTGTGTGAAGAGCCTCAGCACCAATTGCCACAACTTGCCTGGAGGGGAACAAGCCGCTGCGGTTGTGGGACGCAGTCGTGACGACCCGGCATCTTGTTGTGAGAAGCGATGTGGGTTTGTTTGAGGGGAGGATGCAGCAAAAACGGCTGGTTTTGCCCTGGGTTCCCTGAAAGCCGCCCAGGATTGAGGTACCTTCAAAGAAGACACGGGGGCGGTTTTGTTGTTTCTCAGTTGAAGGGTTTGGATGGGCGTTGGATGATCAGAACATGAGCAACGGACTTTGCTAGCGTTGGCCCCACACTAAAAGCAGGTCCTGATTCTCAAGAGTTTGTTTGGGTTTTGACGTTTAGGGTGGGGTTGGGGTTGAAGGTTTTCAAGGTTTGGGTGCCCTCCGCTAAACGCGTTAGCTGAAACAGGTCAGACAAGGTTGCTGGACGCGCGGTTGCAATTTCTACCTCGTGTTTTCCGGGGCTCAACGTGAGGATTCCTTCAAAAAGACACGGCCGCCATCACAGGTCCGGGTTCTTGATGAGTTGTGCCTGAGGCCTGGCGGCTTCACAAGACGGACGGGCAGCTCATTGACCCGGAGGGTGATCTGCCTCTGGGGATCAAGGACAGCTTTGGATTAAGTGGACCAAGTGTTAAGGCAGAAGCCCAAGTCCCGCTGTCTACATCCCTGTGGCCATGTCCAAATATCACATTCATGCGTCCACGGTGTGACCATTTCCTTCAGGCGATGTCCTCGTTTGGTCGGAGACTCCTCGTGTTGCCCTTTCGGGTAGTTCCTACCAGTCCCCTTCAAACTTCAGCTGTTACTTTGAAGAAAACGAGAACGGGGAGCCATTCCAGTTTCCAATATCCTTTTGGGGAAAATAATGATTCTGGAGGTTTGAAAATGGTGGGCCCACTTTTCGCAGTAGTCAAAATGAACGGCAACCAAGAGGAAGCCTACCATTTTATGTGTGCTTAGCTCATACGGGAATCTCTTGGGGGAGGGAGAGAGAGAGAGAGAGAGAGAGAGAGAGGGGAAGAGAGAGACTTGGTGCGCTGCATGCAGGAATCGCGAGAACATTTCGCGATTGAATGGCAGGCCGGAAAGCGAGAGGGAAGCCACGGATCCATTCACTCTCATTACACTACGATGCACGCAGGTGTGTGCAAGTATGCACGTTTATCACCAGTATTCATAATGGCTGTGGGTCAAAAAAGTGTACCCAAAATGGAACCCTGGCAAATGGAAACACGGACTAAAACCTGCGGTTTGCTGGTGGTTTAATTTTGACCCATACCCACATTAGTGTACGCAGATGTGCTCATAGACTTCCACATTGTCTTCCCGTTTGCTCCGTGGGCATCGCCGGCATTGGTCGACCTTCAGGAAGAGTTGCCTGAGAAGGTGCTACAGGCGCGCGGAGGGCATAGACAGGGGAATGTGCTCAGTGAGGGAGGCCTTTCCGAACGCTTTGCAATGACATGTTGGTGTGCCTTTTTTGAGGATGTGGGGTCTAAAGCGTCCAGATTTCGGGTCACTGATTGAATCTTCTTGGGGCATTGGACAAGAAGGACAAATTCTGCTCATGGAAGCACGACATGGCCCACGTGTGGCAGACATATCGCATGCTGGAAACAAGAACGGAACACATCAGTAAGTGTACGCGCGCGCACGTGTGTGTGTGTGTATATTATATATATATATATATGTGTGTGTGTATGTGTATGTGTATGTGTATGCGTATGTGTGCCGCAACAAACGCTCGGTTTCCTGGCAGTGTGCTTCGGAGCCAAAGGGGATCCTGATGTAGGAGTCCCCCAACCTATTCCCCGACCCACCCAGCCTCTCCCATCCCGCGTCCCCTCTTGCAGGAGCCTTTCAGCAAGACCAACGGCTCAGTGTCCGACGGAGAGGTGGACCTGACCCATTTGCTGGAGATGTTCGTCCAGGAGCCGTCACACATTTTTGTGCGTGCCGGAGAGTGGTGTTTGTCAGAGCTGACGAAGCTTGAAGTGAGTGAAGTAGGTAAGTGGAAGTTTTGTTTAAACGCAAGGTAAGCAACTATAGTTTGAGATCCCTCCCTGCAAGTAGCCGACTGGTTAGCAAGCTAGTAAATTTGTTAGTTGGCGAATTCATTCATGAACATGAATTGGTTACAGAGCCGGCAAGTGAATTTGACCAGTAGCTAGTTGCTAGTCACTTAGTTGGCTACTTTGGCAAGTATGCTAAAAAAGTTAGTCAGTTGGTTCACAAGCTAGTTAGTTTGTTTGAGCTAGTGGGTTGTCTCATTCGTTAGCTGCACTGAGCTGGTTAGCTATCTAGTTAGTCAGTTTGTCAATGGGTAGCTAGTTTTGGAAGCCTGTTACCTCATTACTTAGTGAGATCATGAACTAGCTAGTTAGTTAGTCAGTTAAGGTGCTGGTGTGTTGGATATTCAGTTCCCGCGTTAACTTCATAGCTATCCAGCCAAATAAGCTGGTTCGCTAGCAAACTAGCTAGCTTAGCCGCTCACCAAGTTGTCTGACACGGCTTAGCTATCTAGAAGCAGTTTGTCACTGGGTATCATGAATTAATCGCTTGTTTGCTAGTTGGCTAGTTGGCTAGCTCGATAGTTGTATATCTAGCTATGTAGCTATTTAGCTAGCTAGCGAGATCGACTGAGATTGTTGGTTAGTGTACTAGTCATTCAGCTAGCTTTGCCAATTGGTTCGGTAAGTCAGCTGGTGAACTAATACGCTGCTGAGCAAGTTGGACAAATTCAAAGCAGCGAGTTTTTGCAGATCAACCACCCAAAATTCCGGAGAGGGTTGCACGAGACAAGCGAAAACTCACAGAAACCAGCACGCTTTTGTGGGTCGACCCCGCGAAAGTCCGCAAAGGGTTCATCATGTGATAGCTGTTAAACTTTGCGCACGGCCGTGTCAATGAGCCCAACATCCAAGCGTCTGGAGCATTCTCGGCACCCCGCTTCCGTCAGGCAATTGCGTTGACAGAGCTTTGTCTATCAGGGCTGTGTAGCAACATGCTCCAGAGAACAACAACGGCGTTTGAACAGCAGCTATGTCTCGTAACATGCTCCTGGTAACAACCATGTCGCAGAAACTGTCTTAGCAACCGCGTTAACACAATAAAGAATGGCTATGTCTAATAATATGCTGGGGATGACAGCTGAAGCGACCGCGCTTTAGCAACCTCATCTTTTTAATACAACCGATAATATGTCAGCTATGTCTAGCAACATGATCCTGAGAACAACCGTCTTGAAGCAACTGCGTTTAGCAACCGCGTTTACACAACTGCTATGTCCAGCCACAGGCTCCTGAAAACGAGCGTGTTGAAGCAAAGGTGCTTAGCAACCGCTGTCTTGAAACAATCGCTATGTCTAGTAGCTTGCTCGAGCCTGTTGAAGCAACCGCATTCAGCAACCAGCAACCACGTTTTTTGTTTATTCCCTTTCTATTTTTTAAACAACCCTGTGTCAGCCATGTCTACTAGCATGCTCCCGATATCGACATGGGTTAAGCAATTGTTTAGCAACCGCTTCAACTACCTGCGTCCTGCAAAATCCACCTGCCACACAGTTGAGTTTAGCGACCGCGTTTAAAACAATCGTTTTGTCTAGTAAATGTTCTGATAGCAACCGTGTTGAAGCAACCGCCTTTGGCAACCGCGTTTACACATCTGCATCCAAAGTTTCCTGCGCAAGGATCCGTGAGAATGTGTCAGGGTTAGGGGAGTTTCCTCATCTTCTGCAGGTTGATCTTTTGGAGTTTGGACGGTCCCAACCTTTGATCTGTCCTCCACCGGCGGAGTTGCTTGCTTTCCCTGACCATTGCGTTCAGGTAACCCAACATTGATGTTTTGGTCGCTAGCTTGGAAGCTTGGGACTGCCTTTCCATTGGTTTCAATTGGAGACCGCAAAACCAAACCACCAAAGGGCTAGTTGTGTTGGCAGGACGAGAAACTTGGCCTGGATGATGCGTGGTACTGCAACCGCTGCAAAGAGCCGGGGGTCCTGTCGCGCCTTCTTGAAGCGGTCTGGATTTTCGTGCGTTGTCTTTTGATTTGGGTACACCTGACACACTTATCGCATTTGATAATCAAGTCTGTTCCACAACGTTCCTCCAAACCGTGTTCCTGATCATGAGTTTCTGCGGAAAGTCGCTACGCGACAGCCTGAGGAGGAGACGATTAGGGCTTTTTGGGCGGCCGCGAGGATGGGCTTTGGCCGGTGTCAGGTCTCACATGTCCTTTCCATGAAATGTGAGCCAGGAGCGATGCAGTAGGTATGGCCAGCTGAATTCTGGTCAATCCAAGGACAAGTCACCAGGCGAATTGTACAGGAACGCCAAAGCATTTTCCATTATGTCATTCGCGCTGACTGCGTGGTATGCCGGCCGCAGTGTTCGGGTACGGTTCTTTGACAATTGGCCTCCTTTGATTGCCAACAAAAGCACAAAACCCAAGGATCAAGCAAAACCAAAGAGGCATGGAGCCAAGGCAAAGCAAATCATACAGAGACCAAACGGCCACTGCCACACCCGCGGGGACGAAGCTGCACCGGATCTGAGGCACAAGGAGGCCTTCAAGAAACTGGAGCCCGGGGCTCGGGGAATTTGGACCCCAAAACGGCGGTGTTCGTTTTGGGGGTCGTTAAACCAAGGTGAAGTTGGGTACTCACAACACAAGCCCATGTTCTACGTATAGTGGCGTGACTTCGGCCCAGGCCCCCGGCCTGTGTTGTGCTTAAAGGGGATCCAAAACTCAACTCAAAATCGGACTGACGCTTGGACTCCCTCCCAGCGTCGAGACCATTCGAAACTTACCAGCATGTCGAAACTCGGGACGACTCAACGTCCGTACATGCGCGACAAGCAAGCTGCGAATCGCGTGTAGTTTGTCAGTTTCTGCCGCGAAAGCACCAGGGAGCACAGCTGCTGTTGGGGCAAAGGAGCTATGTGAACGAGCAGAATTAAGCGCAAGCACTAAACTGGCTAACGCCACAGCGCCATCGCCATTGTTTTGGCCAAGAAACCGCTTTTTTTCCGCTGACTTAAAAGTAGGTGTCGCGCTCGTCCATACACCGAATTGACCAACAGCACCAGCATCAACAGCTTTCCATTGACTAAAAGTAGCGGTGTCGTGCTTGTTTGTATACTAAATTTATCGACACCACCAGCATCACAAGCATTTTAGTGAAGAACGTGCTTTTCCTTGCTGAAAATTCCGGTTTTCGATCATCCCGACTATTGATCGTCCCGACTATTCACTGTCCGTACCTGTAGGTTCAGCAGGACTGTTCCTGCCAAGAAGGCACCAAAAGCACAGCTGAGTAGTGCTTTTTTGCTCCTCCATTACGTATGTAAAGGCACATAAATTATTCTTTGATGTTCTTTGGAAATGTGCGCCGCGCATTGATAGAAGACTCAGTCAAGGGCATTGAGCAAAAGTGACACTGAGCAGACCTAGACTTAAGCAAGTCCTAACATTTATGTAGATATATGTTGCTAACAAACATATATGTATATGTCATATACATATATATATACACATACATACATACATACACACATATACAGACATATCTTTTGGTTCTCGCCCGGGCGTTTTGTGCCACGCCCGAAATTGCGCTTGCCAACTTTGAAAGGGGTACTCCCCTTCATCTATGGTTGGTTGCAGCAAGGACCATCTAGCGTAATCAGTGTGTAACTGGGCAGACTTGCTGCCATCTCAGCCGACCTCGCGCTTTTTGCCACGAGGTTCCACCACTGCCCACCGGTTCTCGTACTTCAGTTGAAGAGATTCCAGTACACTCGCTGGTGGGGAGCTGAGATGTGTCCCCTTTCCCAGTCCTGTCGTTTTGCAACTCATTTCAGGTGTTTCAGATGCATCCCTAATGGCTCCATTCTGTGCAACCCGCACAGGGGAATGGTATGCCAGCAACTTTGGACCCAGGTGAAGGGGTACACACTGAAGCCACCTAGCACGGCTTTTGGTTCACGGCTTTTGGTTCTTGGCTTTTTGCCAATGATCGGCATAGGTATGTCTTTTTGCAGCTCGTTTTTTGTTGTTGGGTTGATTTAAAGGGAAGCTTGGGCCATCTTTTTTTTATTGGGGGGGGGAGGGTGTGTGCATTCGGAGACAAGGCATCTTGAGGTTTGACCCTTTTTTAACAACAAAACATGTTTGAACGAAGAGCAATTGAAGAGCGCTTGTTGTTTGAGCCATCGGTTGTCCAAACCACGGATTCGGCCCGGGCTCAGACAAATCCGTCGAGGTATCGAGATCGGCTCAACGCGCCCGTCAATTTCCCGCTGCACAATCTGGACCTCACGTCCTACTGCACGGCCCGGTTGGGACAATGACACCGGAGTTTGAGGGCCGTGTTTCCCAAAACAGGCCTCTCAAAAATGATTGGACTTAAAGCTCCATCTAAATGATGTGCACCAAATGGTCCCCAATCAAAGTTGATGCCATGACGTGTGAGTGTTTTGGCTCTTGAAATGGGGAGCCTGCGTTCACGCGGAAGGGAAGGGTCATCCAAAGTTCACCTGGTTGGTTTCCTTGCATTTCCCTTTAAATCCGCGCCCCAACACTTGCTTTCGCTCAGTAGGGAATCACCCAGAGTGTTGGGAATGAAACCAATTTCAGGAGAGGCGTTGTCTCTTTGCTTGTTTTCTCTCCATGAGGGTGCACAAAGTTTTGGAAGACCACCATCTTCACAAGGCCTCCACTATTCTTTCGTGGAACGTGTAGTTCCATTATATGTGGATGGATGGATGGATGGATGGATGGATGGATGGATGGATGGATGGATGGATGGATGGATGGATGGATGGATGGATGGATGGATGGATGGATGGATGGATGGATGGATGGATGGATGGATGGATGGATGGATGGATGGATGGATGGATGGATGGATGGATGGATGGATGGATGGATGGATGGATGGATGGATGGATGGATGGATGGATGGATGGATGGATGGATGGATGGATGGATGGATGGATGGATGGATGGATGGATGGATGGAGGGATGGAGGGATGGAGGGATGGAGGGATGGAGGGATGGAGGGAGGGATGGAGGGATGGAGGGATGGAGGGATGGAGGGATGGAGGGATGGAGGGATGGAGGGATGGAGGGATGGAGGGATGGAGGGATGGAAGTATGGAAGGATGGAAGGATGGAAGGATGGATGGAAGGATGGAAGGATGGAAGGATGGAAGGATGGAAGGATGGAAGGATGGAAGGATGGAAGGATGGAAGGATGGAAAGATGGAAGGATGGAAGGATGGAAGGATGGAAGGATGGAAGGATGGAAGGAAGGAAGGAAGGAAGGAAGGAAGGAAGGAAGGAAGGAAGGAAGGATGGATGGATGGATGGATGGATGGATGGATAGTGTGCTTTGCTTGGAGGGTACCTTTGTTGGGTTGGTTTAAAGGGAAACCAAAGGACCCATTTTTTCTTGTAAATTTTAATGAACCTCCAAAATGGTTGGACATACATACGTAAAGGATGTCCACCCTTGGGGTCCCCAATGATTTTTTGTCCCACATCCTTTGTGGATTTGAACCGTCCGACCTGCCAGGCCTCTTCCAGAGAGTCCTTCAAGATCCCGCCCGCGCGGCACTCAGTCGCAAGGTTTGTTTTTTGGATCCGGAAGGCCCCAGAGCGAAGACACGTGACTGTATCATGGCCCGTGAGTTTTTTTTTTGGGTGCTGTGTTTTGGAATATGATCTAGAGCGTAATTGGAAGGATGTCATGTAGCTGTTGGATGAGAACCGGATGGACCTTACCAGTTTTGGCCCGCAGCCATGTCAGATGGGCGTGTTGGCGTTCCTCATTTCCTGAGCTTTCAGACAAAAACAAAAGCATCGCTGGCAGCATGGCTGGCTTCAACTGGCATTTTGGCAACCGGCACATGTGTGGTTCCTCAATTCCCGGACCTTCTGGACGGCATTTGCGGGCGGGTCCTATTTGAGCGTCGTTCTCCCGCCAAGGTTTATGATCTTGCTGCGCTGTCAAAGCACATTGGCTCCCTCGGTGGCGGCCAGATCCTCGGGTGAACAACATGTGACAGCATGTGTCTTTTCAGCTTGGAAAGCCACCACTTTGGGGTCCCACCAATTTTTTGGAGCGCAAAATGGCACACCGGCTCCCTAAAGAATGACTCCTATTTTGGGGCCTGTATGGGGGATTTCGCAGGACACTATGTCGCATACGCTCGGTCCTCCATTGACGGGGAGTCCAGCTGCCACGCTTATCGGGATGCTCGGTTTTTCCTGGCTTCCATGGAAACCAAACCATGTAGGGGAATAGTAGGCCAACCATTGCACCGGAAAGGCTATTCGCCAGGGGCCTCCTGACGACCCGGCCGTTCTGCGCAGGTGGTACCACTACGACGACAGCTCCGTCCGGCGCTGCTCAGAGGAGGAGGTGTCCTCGGACAAGGACCGGTCCGGAAGAACGCCGGGAGCTGTGGGCCGTTTGTTTGGGAAAAGGCTTTGCAAACTGGTTGAAACCATGGATGGGGGCCCTCAGAGGCAACTTTTCAAGTTGGATCCGTGTGGCATTTCATAGCACACATGTGGCCATGAAGCACCGCCCCTGGCTCGGCTCCTACTATCTGTCGCCGTTCAAACGAATGGGACACGTTTTGGTTTTCGTCTTTGTTTGACCCTGTGCTTGGCAACTGTTTGATTCACGATGACACAGTAGCATAGTTCAAGTGAATCCGATGTTTTCCAGGTGGGCGCTTATGTGCTCTTCTACATCCGGCGAGATTACCGCCCGCCGAGCTATGGCCCCCCTGAAGTCTGAAGGTGCTTCAGGCCCAGGTTTCACCAGTTGTTTCTCGCAATTCGGTTTATTTGTGGCGAGTCAGCCACAAGAGCGGTCAGCAGATCTCACCCACGAAGGCCGTCCCAGCAGAGAGGTGTGCTGGCACACCCACAAAACCACATGCTCCACCTACTTTGTTGGGCATGGTGGCAGGTCCAGAAGTGTAGCATTATTGATTGACCAGCGAATTAGCCCAGAGGAAAAGACATGGGTTCGCCGTGCTTTTGCAGGCAGGTTGGCTCGCAGAACTCTTTTGCGTAGCGTGATGCGTGGCCGTTTCCGTGAAGGAGGAGAACCTCCATTTTAGAAATTAGGTTTCCAAAAGTATTTTAGACGTTTCTGAGCCATGCTGCAGCTGGGCAAGGCGGGGAGATGTGCCAAGGACTCATTTCAGTTGGTTCGCGCTTTTTTTTTTGGACCGCGGTTTCCTTCTGCAGACTGGGGTTTGGGGCGAGCTGTCCGACTTTTCTTTTGTCGTTTTGTTTCCTTTGGGTCTTTGGAGCAAGCAATGTTTGCTTTTTGTGGGGCGAGCCCCGTTTTTGTGGACTCGCTGAGGCCTGGCGGCCGGTGCGGCGCTCGGTCTTGCGAGTCAGAGTTCCCCCAAGTTTCCTTTTCGGGCGAGCCGCAGAGGGAAGAGAAAGCTAGAGGAAAGCAGACGCTCCAACTGTTTTCGGGTTTGCAAATACAGGACATGGCATGGCCATGACATTGAACGACTGGAATGCCCCTCAAACCATGGTCCGTGGACATGAGCCCCCGTGCAAGTGATGTCCACCAAAGGGTCCGCAATGAAGCCAACGAAGCCAAAAGGGAGAGTTCCCTACTGCGTTTTGGATGGTGTTTGAAAGGGGAAACCAGCAGGAAAGGACATAATTCTCAGGGATCCTATTCGGACACGCCCACATGGCAATGAAGCTTGATGCCTTGTGCCCATGAGGTTTCATTGGCGCGGGCCCTAGCTGCGATACTTGGGGATCAACCCGAACAGCCACGTGGACATTGCCAGCCACAAGCCACCACAACCGGGGTTGATGAGCAGATGGCACACGCCAGCGAGGTTCGATGCAAGACCACGCTGATCATGGGCCCTCCTGGCGGTCTGCTCCCCAGCGCCGGGGATGCGCCTCATTCGATGCTTCAGGTGGGCATCTCGTTTCTTGGTGGCCCCTTTTTGTCTAGTTTCAAGGGAGGCCCAACAAAAATTCTGGGTTTCCCTATTTTGCCACACGCAGGTGGGAAGGGCACCATTAGCAAGAAGCTCATCAAGGCCCGCCTTGTCGAGGTTTTCAGAGGGGTGTTTCTTTCAGGCTGTGGCTCAAAAACCCAGAATCGCCCCCCCCCCCCCAACCCCCAGTGTGTGGCAACAGACCACACAATCGGCGGTTCTTTTTGGTGCTCAATTTTAAGCAGCACACTTGAATTCCCGATTTTCGGCCAGGATTTCAACTTCCATCACATCTCCACTGGCGATCTTCTGAGAACTCAGGCCGCTTGGCCACTTGTGCCTGGCAGATATCGCATATGTTGTTGCTTAGGGATGGGGGACCGACCCTGTACCAACTACTTTCGGGCGTGTCTGATGGGTGGGCCACCCATGAAATGCTTTCCATTTGGTCTTCGTCTAAAGCAATCCCAACAAGCTTCTCTCAAAAACTGATGTCCGCATTGGACATTGGGTTGCAGGGGAATGGTTGGCGGGTTCAATCCACCCCGTGCGAGGTTCGCCTGGGCACACCACAGGGCCTAAAGGCCAAGTCCTACATGGAGTCTGGGGATCTAGTGCCCGACGAGCTGATCATTGACATGGTCCTGAGCAAGGCTCACCTGTGGAGATGCAAATGCACCCGTAAATGGCACACCCCAACAGGTTGTTCCTAGCTCGCCTGATATCCGCAGTCATTTGAAGCAGGCATGACACAGAATACTTGCGCATCTTCCTCAAGAAAAGTGAATACCGTTACCACGTCAACCGATGGGCGCTGATGGGGCGCTTGTTGTGACGGGTGAGGTGGAAGATATCTCAAGCTCCCGAGTGCTCCTCGACGGCTTTCCCAGGACCAGAGTGCAGGACTGGAGGGCCGTGTAAGACCCCCCCGGATGATCAAACCACCTTGTGGCTGTGTCGAAATAGGGGAACTGCAGTGGGCAATTTTCTTTTGGTTTCCTTGAAACAACCCCAAAAAGGGGACCCTAAAAGCAACACAGACGCACACAGACACACAGACACACGATGCACGCAGACAGACAGACAGACAGACAGACAGACAGACAGACAGACAGACAGACAGACAGACACAACTCGGGAAGCATGAAGATGACTGCACCTCTTCACGCCCGCAGCCGAGATCGAAGGCTGAAGCCCTGGACAAGAAGAAGCAGGTGGCTGCTGCCTCGGTTTCAACTTGGCGAACTCGGCATGCTTCCACTAGTGTAGGTTCTCAAAGTTGGGGCAAGATGGTCGGTTTCCTTCTGGCTTCGCTTTAAAACAAGCCGCAAAGGCTTCTCCCAAAAAAGGTACGCCCATGTGGGAGGGAGTCAATCCTTGGTTTCAACAGTTGTTGGTTCTCGGTTCCCTAAAGGGATACTCTACATGTGCCATGTGCGGATTCGAATTGGTGGGTCGCAACAGACTTTCCACATGGTTCGAGTGAGGAGATCGCGATCAATTTGGCTGTGCCCAACGAAGAGATCGCCAGGGCCTTCGGCACGGTGGGTTTTCTGTTGACTTTCCAAAAATAAAACCGCGCAGAAGCCCCCCCCCAAAAAAAAAAGAAAGAAGAAAGAGCACCCCCCCCCGAAAACCCCCCCCCCCCCTCCCCAAAAAAAGACTCCCCCCCCCCCTTCAAAAGAGTCGCACCGTTCTGTCTTTCCTTTCGGACAGAGGCCCCAAAAGAGACGGGTTGCGCGCGTGCAAGGTGCGAAGAACCAGCAGCCGGTGGCCTGGGCCTGACCCGGACGTGTAGTGTCCGACAGGAACCCAGTTGTTAGAGATCATTTGGCTGTGGGTCAAAACCAATGGGATCCGGGGTACGGGGTTTTGACCCATGGCCATTTCACAGTGGCCCCAGAATCCTTTGACAAGTGTTCCTTATAGGAAAGCCCAAAGGTCGGCTCCGGATTGTTGGTTTCCGGGGCGTTCCCAAGAACGAAGCCTCGGGGATGGACCAAATCGGGTCCGCCGAAGCCAAGTTTGGACGAGTACACTGGGCTTTTATGGTTCCCACCGGTTGCACATGCGGAACAAGCACTTTGCGCCATTTCTTTCAAGCACGCAGCGCGACTTCGGGCAGACACACATCATTTGCTTGTGTCCCACCCGAGGATTCACCCAGGGTCAGGCCGCACTTACGCGTATGACTACAATCCGCCGAAGGCCGGATGACTTTTTGTTTTCTGAGAATGAAGGCCTGGAAAGATACGATAGACAAGCATTTGAGTGGGCTGTGATCATTTTTCTCCTAAAAGGTTCTACTGGGCTGCTCAGTAGCAGCCTAATCCTTCCTGTGGGTTGTGAAAAGCTTCTCCGGGATTGCATATAAGGATTGGCCAACTCTCCATGGAAAAAGGGCAGCCCCGAAGGAGGAGGGCAAGGACGACGAAACGGGCGAGTCGCTCATCCAGCGTGATGACGACAAGCCTGCTGCGGTCAAAGCGAGACTGCAGGAGAGCTGCTCATTCCCCAGATAGCTGAAAGATATAGGGGTTCTAGCTTCTAATACAGATGGGAAAGTGACGGCAGGGTGCTAGGAGGCATGCAGTTTGGGGTGCTTGTGCAGGTGCTGTTTGAGCTGCTGGTGACGGTGTGGGCACGTTTTGGCGAGATCGACGGCTGGGTGCTAGAGCATGCAGTTTGGGGTGGTGGTGCAGGTGCTGTTTAATGTGCTGGTGCAGGTGCTTTTTGAGGTGCTGGTGACGGTGTGGGTGCATGTTTGCAAGACTGAGGGCAGGGTGCTAGGTGGCATGCAGTTTCGGGTGTTGGTGCAGTGCTGTGCATGTTTATTAGTTGGGTGGAGGTAGGTGCTAAGCAGTTTGGGGTGCTGGTGCAGTTGCTGTTGTAGGTGCTGTGACCCGGGTGCCATGGGGCATGCAGTTTGGGGTGCTGGTGCTGTTTTTGGGGGTGCTGTTTTTGGGAGTGCTGGGCAGGTGCCGCCAGACGCTGGTGACGTGTGGGCGCATTTTTGCGAGATTGGCGGGGGCGCATTTTTGCGAGAGCGACGGCCGGGCTAGGCATGGGGGTGCTGATGCAGGTGCTGCTTTGGGTGCTGTTTGGGGCCGACCCTTTTCAACCCCCCAACCGGTGCCAAACTTCAAGCACCTATGCTGCCCACAGAAATGGAGCAAACAAAACACTTAAGGTTTTTGTTCTTTCAATTCCACACCAGGACGCCTCTCAATTCTATGCAGAAGTGTCCCTGAATTTGATATGATTTGGCCAACGAGCAGTGGGCAATCCTCGACCAGTTTTACGCTATTTGGGGTCTATGCTGACACACACACACACACATACATCGCGCCACTTCAGGCTAGGAGCATCACACCACCTTAAAATATGGCTCATGAGCTGCCTTCTTGACAGGAGTACGACAACCAGACACTGCCTCTCCTTGACTATTACAAGGAGTCGCACGCATGGCTCCATCAGCCGGGTGAGCCAAAGCCAGGGTAGAGACCATCTCGTGGGTGTAGAGCCATGAATGGGTGCGGCCGCTGATTGATTCTTTACATGGTCTTGGATAGACCCCTTCAATACCAAGTTTTGACTGCCCACGAACTTCTCGTTCTTTTGCTGAGGGGTGTAACACAGCAGATTAAAGCAAACGGTCGTCAAGCCTTCAAAAGGGATTCAACACAATAATTGCACGGGTCCTCTTAAAAGATCATGAACCACACACCGATTGTTAGCTGTTTTTTGTGCTTTTTTGTTTGTGTCTTGCTTTGGAAGTACACGCGATTAGAGACTAAGAAAGGGAATTCCACATGCAACATAATCTTATTGGCTGGATTATGCGCATATGAGAAGATTGAATATTGAAGATAATATCGACCTGTAAGGGTTGATATCAACAGAACTTTATGCAATTGTAAGCGCTTCACGTTGCCCACCTCGGCCACCGTGGCTTTGAGGTATCGTGTTTTGGTTTGCTTTGAAGTGGTGTGTTTTGAGCGCGAGCGAGTTCCCAAGATTTGGTGGGCTGCGCTTTCTAGGGGCAATGTGGTTGGGGCACTTTGAACGCTTTCTAAGAGAATTTGACCCATTTCTAGACCGGTTTCTAGACTAGATTTGATCGGTTTCTAGGAGACTTGACGGGCTTCGGGGGGTTTGACTGGGACAATTGACCAGTTTCTGACCAGAAAGCTTGACCTGGTTTCTAGGGAGTTTGACGCAGTTTCTAGAAGGAGCTGGTCCGGTTTCTTCGATACGGTTGTGGATGCCTCGAGGGTGGGTTTGATCTGCAGGAAGGATCTGGCCTCGGGGACTTGCTTCAGAGGGGCTGGAGACAGCTGGAACATGAGTTTGGGTCGCACGACATGTGGAGGGGGTCGGGTTTCTTCGTTCCCGTGAATCTGTTCTGATCGCTGATCCCATGTGGTGCGTGAAAAAAAGGACGGAGCACCTGAGAGTCCCTCGCCAATTAACCCATCTCTGGCGCATCGTCTCTTATTTGCTTGTATGTTCTCCCTTCTTCCATGGGGGATTGCCCAACTCCTTTTGAGAAATGCCTAAATGAGGCTCGGTCCAAGCGACAGCCCCATTTTCACATGAGGTCCGGGCAAACTTACTGGTAGTCCATAGTTTGTTTGGGGGGACATGGAGGACTCAACCACCAAAAACCAGGGGACTCACTAGTTGACCCACACGCGAACCGCACAATTTGATCATGGCAATGGGCTTGCCTGAGGAGAAGGGCTGCCTGCGGCAGTTCGATGGGTCAGACAACCCGGACCTCGTGGCCAAGGCAGAAAAGAGTGCTCAACGCATCCCATCATTTGGGGTTCCCGTAGGCTAACATTGCAGCCAGGTAGTCCGAAAGTACCAAGGGGTCCTGGGAGCTTCCCCATGGAATCGCCTGAGGGAGGGTAGAGTTAACCTGTTAGCGCTTACAGGGAAGTGAGAGACGCGTCACCGAGTTCATACATGGGTTTGTCTCACAACGGGTGGAACCCCGACAATTCTTTGAAGATTCATTACTGAACATGAGCGACTCGAATTAGTTATTAAGTCATATTTTTTGAGGCATACCCTTATGTTCACGACAAGGAATCAATGCTTGGACCAGACCTCATGCACCATTTTTTGGCCACAGCTCACATTGAATTGATGCTGGTAGAACATTCGAGTTGCTCCTCCTAGATCATCAACCTTGAATCCAGGACGCTGCATCCTCCGCTCCGCGATCTTCAACTTTACCAATTGGTTGCTGTTGATGGTTTCTGCGACCACGACCCAGCTTTTGGCCTTGACACACAAGCTCCGTGCCTTCGCTTGGGATGGTCGTTGGGCACAGGACAGAAGATCCGATGCCATCTACGCGCCACTCAGAAGCAGCTACCATGTGCTTTGTTTGGTCCTGTGCTGATTGAATTCCCATTGTGAGAGCTGTCGCGAAACCCGACAGTAATTTGTTTTATCTTCAGTTTGCTCAAAGGGGCAGTGTGCGAGGGGGAGAGGAAGAGCTGGCGGAGTCCAATGCCAAATCCGACCCAATGAGCTCCAGTCTGGTGGAAGCTGATGCCATGTCTGACCAATGACAGCTTGCGGGCGACTTTCTGCAAACAAGTAGTGGGCCTGGGCAACCAGCGCCGTGCTATCAGACTCGGAGGCGCTAAGTTGCGCGGACAAGGATAGCGCTGCGCGTCCTCTGCAAAAAGTTGAAGGCAACCCCCAACTCGTGTTTGCCTTTGCACGATTTGGCTTTGTGTGAGGGGGGACCCTTCGAACGGTCAAGCGGTGAATCGGCCCAGTTTGGTTCTCGTCCCTTTTTGTACACGCACACAGCAATAGTTAGTGTCATGGTGCCCTTCAGAAGAATCAAACGGCGAGCTCACACACGCCGAGGTCCTTGAAGCCTTTCATGCAGGGCAGCCTCGGTTGAAGGGATTTATCTGGCAAAGGGCCGGATCGATCCGATGTCCGCCGCGCCAGCAGCGGAAAACAAGTTGCAGCGTCCGAAGGGGAGCGCGCCCGCGGTTGACTGATGAAATGCGTTGTTGTTGGGTGGGAGTGGGGTTGCAAGGGGTTGATGCAACTTGTGACAAAACCCGACACAAGTCTTTCACGATGCCCTTGCTTGCGTGTGACTCGCTGCAAGCACCATCAGGTACAGCTGGGGTGTCGACACAGCAAGACCGTAGATCATTGGGGAAGGTTTCCAAATGTGACTACTCCTGTCCAGGCGGTTGAGTTTTGGTTTCCCTTCAAACAAATCAAGAAACGGGGGCCCTCGATTTGGGACGTACCGAGCCGTTGAGAAGGCCAGGTAGGCCTTTCCGCAATCCTTTGTGTGGAAGATACACGATTACATAGCAAGGCTTGTGAGTGGGAGGAAGCGCTTTTCAGCTCTCGGATATCCTTTTCTCGCTCACGATGTGGGAGTGCATGATCAGCGAGACCCGCAAAGGCAGGGCTTTTGCGTTTGGGCGTGCATGTTAGGTTGGTTCAAAGGGACACCAAAAGGAGCCCAGACCACCCCATTTTGGATCTATCAAAGTCCCTGCAAACTCCAAGCAGTCAAGATCAGTTGCTGGGCTGTGCAGGGGCAATCCATACTCCTTCTGACGAAAAGGATGTGGTCACCAGGCTTTGGGTTGGCTCTCCATTTTGCCCAATTTTGGACTGGATATTCAGCCGCATGGCTCAGGGCGGCACAAGCGGAGCAACGAGGCGGTGAGCCCGAGCTCATATGGCCCCCAGCAGGGATCCCACAAGGGATGGTGAGAGCTGATTCCCGCAATCCCCCGCGGAGAAGCAGCAAGGTTTTGGAGTTTGACGCCAAACGGATTCTAACAAACGGGTTCTGAAAGGCTTGAAAGAACCATGATGCAGCATCTCAAAGCAACCCATCGAACCCGTTGAAAGGGCACAGGTGTCATTTTGTGCCGCCGTTTTGATTTTAGACGGGAATCAACAGGGTCTATACCTTTTGACAACCCGATGTCTCATGGCCAAACGAGCGATTCCCTTAGTGCTACCAGGCGGATCCAGACAAAAATTGGAGGTGTAGACAAGCTGCACGAGGATTCCTATCATGACCTGGCGCGGATGCTTTTACTTTCCGCAAGCCGATTCGGAGTTGATCCCCTCATGAGAGCGCTTGATTTCCTAAAAGAAAGCTGGCCTTGTGACCTTGAGCCTCCGGAGACTCGACGCAGGAGAAACCCTCTCCCTCGAGAGATGCGCCCCTGGAACTCCAGCTCGCTGGGATCCGAAGAGCCCGGAGCCCCAAAGCGCCGGTCTCGTGTAAACGGCGTCGCGAAAGGGTCCGGGCTGAGAAAAGACGCTGTGAAGCGGCATGGATCCCTTGCAGTTTGAACGACTCCAAGGACAGAACGAGTCAGCTGGAGAAGCTTAGGGCGGCTGCGCGCGCCCCAGCTCGGGGCGAATGCACGAATGAGTTCACGAGCTCATTCCGGGGCCGCGAGCGAAAGCCCTGAAGGTCCTTGACTCGCTCGGCGTGTCGGCCAGGCCCAGAGGTCTCGCCGCCGAGAAAGTGAGGCTGAGGCCTGGCACGAAGAGAAGCTGAGTGCGGAATCCGAGCAACGTTTGGGTGCAGACTCTGCTCGCTGTCTTAAGAAATGATGAGAGAGAATGTCCGAATGTGCTTTATCGATCTCCTCAATCAGTTGAACACACTCGCAACCAAGCCATGGGTTTGCGCGCTGCTCAACTGACTGGCTGTACCGGCCACTTGTGCTGGCCAGGCGCCTTCTGATGCGGGCTACAGGAAAGGGCCTCAGATGGTCCCGGATTGCAACTAGCGCGTGTCCGGGACCCCCACCCAAACGGCCGTGAAGCTTTCTTTTGAACGTGAGGGCGGACACCTGTTTGCGAGCTAAATATGCGCCTAAAAAATGTGGACCCTCTGTTGGACGAATCAGAGGCCCATTCCTAACTTCCGCGACCCCCGCACAGGGCGGGTGCCTTTCGTTTGAAGTTAGTGCCCTTTCAGGGTGGCATCAAAGGAACACCCAAGCAAGGGTCACTCGCCATTTTTGCTCTCCAGTTTTTGCTTTTTCTTGGAGAGGGAGGCACTGGTCGACTGAGGCTCAAGCAATTGTACAGTCGAGCCTCTCAGGACTTGGCATCGCGGTGGTCTCAGATGTCTGGAGTGGGACAGTGCCACCCCTTTGAAGAGGGGGCAGGGTTTCCTGCATATTTCAGGGCAGACACCTACAGGAAGCCAGCTTTGTGGGGTCCCCTGTTTTGAGAGTGACTCGGGCTCTTTCAGCAAGACTTGCGCAAGCATTTCCAGTATCGGACGCGCTGACACGTCGATGACACGTCTTTTAACTTGTTATCCTGGGGCCGAAGTGTAAGCTTGACATTGCATCGAGGCTTGGAAGCGTCCTGTGACCAGTGACTGTTGCAAGCGGCAATAATCAAAGCCTTTCATGCTGCTTTCCGTTCACTTCAAGCCCTTGACCCCTCAAAAAAGAAAAAGGGTCCCTGGTTTTGACAGCCATTTGACGATTGAGGCTAGCATCTCAGCTCGCCCAGCACAACGGGTGGAAGCCCTGGAGAGGGAGAGTTGCGGAAGAGTTCAAGAGTGAACATGGTGAACTTGTTCCATGGGATCCATGTCCGCCATGTCCTTGAGATTCACACTCAAATGTGAGCTGCAGGTCCTCCATGTCGGAGCAACCCCTTGCCTCAGACCTACGGCCTTTGGGGCGGCGGCCGTGCGAGGCTCCGGCAGTTCAGCGCGACCTTCTCCACGCGGGCGCCGCCTCTGGAGCTCCGCATGCTGCTGCCGGAGTTGGAGGCCCGTTGGTTCGCGGCACAGGTTGGGGCGCCAGTTCACGGCCGGGCTTGTGGTTTTTGGCGCAAGATACCCCGTACTGCCGGAGCAAAAAGATGGAGAAGGGTAGACGAAACTGGTTTCACATACCTTTGTTTTTGCAAGCTTGGGCAAACAACTTAACCCCCAATTCGTAGCTAACAGATGGGTCTTAAAACTCCAGAATATGAAATCACAAAAAAAGCCAGGCAACATGTATCAAATTTGAAAAAAACATGGGGTTGCACGAACTGCATGACCCAATATGTAGTCCATACTAAACTTAGCATTGCCAATACATATTCTTAGACTCCTACAACTAGACTCCGTATTGAGACTGCTAAATTTAGTATAGTCAATACTTAGTCTTGGGTTGCTAGAACTAAATATAGTATTCCATGTCCAGCTTCTCTATCGTGGATTACTCCTTTGATGTCAAGCATTCCGAGCGTGCTGTACCAACACGAGTGCGCGGCCGGGAACACTAAAGGGGGTTGTTGGCTTGGGTGATCTAGCCGAAGTAGATCGTGCCATGGTGAGCCTGCGCGAACATGTCAAAGGGACGAGGATGTCCAAAGACGTACACGTGGGCCTTCAACAAAGGAGTGTCAACGCCACCGGCCTTGGCGAGGACGTCCAAGAGCGTGATTTTATTGGAGTTCAAGACCAAGAGCTCTGCTATGGGGCCGAATCTCCCAATCAGAAATCAGCTGTCGTTGGATCCACTGACTGGCGCTTGGGCCGAGATCTGATTGCATAGGAATCAAAGCTTTAGAATGAGTTGACACTAAATCTATTGGGCTCAGGGGGAGCTTAGTTTTCATTTTCCGACGGCCCACGAAAACGGGGCGCTTCCTCTACGGAATGTTTAGTCCATTGTCCACAAAGTCTTAGATTCTTGCGACATTCAGTATTGCCAACGCTTGATGTTGGATTCTGAGTGCCAAATTCAGTGCTGCCAATACTAGGTTTAGTATTGGCAATGAATTGCGGATATTTGCTGTTGGGGGGCGGGGGGGGGGCCAAAGCACGCCGAAGGTGAACACCATTTTGTTGCATTTTTCCCTAGCACCTTTGGGCAGGTGGGCCGGGGATTTGCGCCGGACAGGCTTCCATTGAGACACTGCTCTCTTCGCTGTCCAGCTGTTCCGAAGAGATCGCGCTGCTGCAGGCAGAGCGCGGAGTGTTTCATCTCGCGTGGTGCCAAGCGCTGGTGATGTGGATCCTGGCAGGTTCCGAGTGAGACTCGTTTGGCCACGCTGAGAGATGCCGCAGGGAGCCCTGGTGTGCAATGTGAGGCAGAATCAAGCCCATTGAAGGCCAGTCAGGGTGGTTAAAACCCACCCTGAATAGAGGTGCCCCTTTGGAATCCCTCACACAACTTCCCACAGAAGCCAGGGCAAACCGCAGGGAACACTCATGTTCCCGCCCTGACACAGCTGTCCAGGCATGTCATGTTTTTCATTCCTCTCCATGTGGGGTGTGGTCAACATGTCCGGCAATCAATGGTCCATTTTGGAGGGACATTGGGGACTCATTGAATTTCAACCACCAAAACCAGGCTCACGCAGTTGCTCATGTCAGATGTAACAGGGGCTTGTTGCATCCCAATTTGGTTTTGACTTGCCCTGACATCCGGAACGCGCTGCGCCCCTGCTGACGTTTCGCGCTGCGTGTACGACATGGGGTCGGGCGACAGTGACACGGCTCAAACATCGGATCTGGATTTTGACCTCGCCGTATCTGCCATGAAAACACGAGGTGTGCAGCTACTTGCGCTCCGAGCACGAAGACGCAAAGGGACATTTTCATGAACAGCGGTCGCCTCAAGCTGTGTGGGCTGAGCCCAGATCGAAGCCGAACTGGAGGTCGAAGAGGTTCATTCCCAACATATGAACTGTTTGTGTGAGTCTTCACATGGTTTTGGTGCTTCGGGTGCACCCCCATCGAAATCAAGATGAGCCGCTAGATGACTCATCTGAGGTGTACCCACATGCGCGCGCTGAGAAGCGTGTCCCCGCTCACCTCGCCAATGACCATGCCCGTGCGACCAACAGATGGAGCCAGGAGACTCTTTTGCGGTCGCTCAGGTTACAGCAAATAGACGCAATCGAAGCATTTTAAAAGGACTCCCATTCGGGAAATCTAGGTTTTGTTCTACGTGAGAGGCTTTGCTTCATGTGAAGTGTTTGGGAGTGTTGCGAGATCTACGTGATCGGCTTTGAGAGGTACTGCCCAAGAAGCTGTCGGGCCTGGGGTCTCCGGAGCTATCATACATGAAGGAGCCGGGACCTTCCTCAGCGCGAAGCCCGGTTTCGAGAGTTTGTCGGCATCGGTGAGACTCATTCATCAGTAGTGCATGGTCAAGCGAGGAGGGTCGTGAGGGTCTCTCTAAATTTCCCAGAACTATCAGTAGCGTATTTTGGCCGTGGCACAGCCCGTACCCCTGTTTCCACTTGAACCATGTGTGCACATCTGCGCTCTGTTGCCGTAGCGTCCAAATGCTGGGTGCCTGTCATCCTCACCCGCTACAGATCTATATGTGTTCTTTACAGACTTTGTCCCATCCCCAGAAATCTTGACGGGAAACGGGCACTGAATTGGCTCGCGTCTTTCAGCTCTGTTCCCGCGTTAGTCGGCGAGTCGAGCTGCAGGTGTCTACGCGGAGCTCGCCGGAGATGTCGGTACCCGAGTTGGGGGGTCAACGACTTGTCGTTGCACCGCTAAACCTGTCTTGTTGCACCTGTTGCGAGCCCTTCAAAACTACATGATGTTGGCTTTCCCAGGGAACGAGCAGACACTTGACACCCCCCTGCCGTGTTAGTACTTTAAAAGGGGAAGGGTGTGTGTGTGTGTGTGTGTGCGGAGTGACAGAATGCCCTGTCACCACCCTTTCGGTTTCGCAGCAGGGGGCCAGCGGCCATCAAGCAAACGCTGGCCAACGAAGCTATGCTTGATGGTGGATGCACGGATTGATCACCTGTGCGTACCTGCAACATTTGCGTGATTCTGAAAGTCTATTTGGCCCTCTCCTTTCGCTCGCTGTTTGTGCTTCTTGTTCTTGCTCGTAACGTGTTCGACACTAGAGGGAAGCCAAGTGTATTGAGAGCCGAAACTCATCATACTCGAGACTTGTCGGTTGTACTCGAGACTCATCAGTTGTACTCGAAAGATTAGCACTCTCCATCTGGAGTTCAAGTGTGTACACCCCATTCGTGGGGAATCCTCGGGTGTACCCATTGTGTGACCCCGGGCCGGCTGTGTCGGAAAATTTGACCTCAACGTGCGTATCATAGAACAGCGGAATTTCACATTTAATCAGGAACGAGGTTTCACTAAAGGGAAGAAAGCCGTCAGTTCATAGTGACGTCTCACCATAGTTGATAGCTGCCGATTTTCATTGCCTACCTTGACCATTGGTTGAACTTGTTGCTCGTATCATTGCGGTTGTCGATTGCTGACTTGTATTTGCTTTGCCTTGTACATTTCGCTCGACCATTGCAGTTGAGGGCCGCTAACTTGCATTTGCATGGATTTGAATACTGTCGGGTCTGATTCTCTCAAGGTGGAAGTGTGCGAATTCCGATCTGGTTGCGTCACCATGTCTCGACGTGATGATCGTGATAGATCCAGGACTCGACGCAGACGTGATCGGAGTCCGTCCCCTCAAGCTCACAAGGCACGCCGACGTGAGCACAATGACAACCAGGTCTCGGAGAACATGGATTGGAACAACTTGGTTTCATGGCAACACAACTCCGGCTACAATGCTGCTAACAACTTTCCGATGGTGCCTACCAATTTTCAATCGACTCACAACCCCACACAGCAATTCCAATACCCGGCGATCAACTACATGATGCCGATCCCTCCTGATCCCACACCGTCCAAGTTCATCCCACCAATGATGCCACCACCGGTCACTACTTCCCAACCTACACCTTCACCTGGACCTCCTGCAGCTCTACCGGTTCGTCCTCAGAAAGCCTGGCTTACTCCCTCGCCTGACTGGACACCTGCAGATGGCATGTTTGATGTCAATCAACTCTACAACTTCAGCCTAACCCATGAATGTTGCCAACACTCCACATGGCAACCTTCGCGACATGTCAGGCATGGATATTAGGGACGTACGCCTGGTTCAGGTTATCCACGGGGGCCTCACCAACTGGCTGCTCAGGCCGTTTGCACACGGCCGATTCGTGATGTGGGAAGGCTTTCGCACCCGCACTGAAGCCTTACTTTGGAGTACCTGCTCCAAACTACTACGAAGATCGCAGTCACTCAACCTGCTCACCCTGGAAAAGGACCTTGCCAACACGCTGGGTCTCAACATTGATGACTTCAATCAGCGCATCAAGGTCCACGACCATTTGGCCAACCTGGTACTTCAATTTCTTCAACAACATCACACCTCTCTCGCACCTGCTGCCCAGACCGATGACATGGTCAAGAAGTTCAATGACTTGAATCGTGCACATGAACTTCTACAGGCTCAGTATTCCGCATCACTTCGCGCATCGACCTCGCCCACGATGACAAACCAGAAAGATGATGCAGAGTTGGTTACACCGCCACCGGTCAACCACACACCATCCTCGTCACCTGCCAGCTCCCTGCCCACAGCCAGCGCGGCCGCCCTGGATGGCAAGTCGTTTGATAGCGTGGTGCAACCTCGGATCATGCAGTCTCTTCACGGAGTGTCGTCACCGCCGTCCAAACCGGCGGCGTCACAGTTGCTCACCATGCACAGCACGCCGGATGAAGTTGTCAAGTACTACACATGGACCAGTGACCAACCTCGCCTTTTCCTCAAGCAAGCACCCACAACAACCACTTTGGCGTCGCTGGTTAAGTGGGCCAATCACCCGTCCCGGCTCAACGGCAACAAGTCGTTAGATTCTATGGCGACGCAGCTTCTTCAGGCCAGGCAGCGCATGCCGAAGGGCGATGCGCCCACACTCGGTGCAATGGCAGCACTATGGGGTCTTGAACCCGGGTACCTTACCAAACTCACCGAGAAGGCATTGAGTCACCTCATCGTGACCGCTCGCCTGCTTTGTGGATGAGAAGGCATCATATCGACCTTCGTTCTCATATGAGCCCGGAGCGGCAACAATGTCACGGATGAGTCCAGGTGAAAACTCGTCCGTCAAGTGTTTGCGTTGCACATGATTGATTTGTACTTGCTTGTTCTTGCATTGCCTCTTGTGTGATTGTCTGTGATGCTTGTATTCATGTCGCCGCCTTGTGGTAGATTTCGTTGGTTGCATCTCACCATGTTGGATGAACTTCGCCATTGCGGAATCTATGATGATGTTGCACAATGGCAGTCGCTGGATGACCTTCTGCGCTCGTTGACTACATTCTCGACGTGCTGGCATTACTGTTTCCCTGGACTACCACCACCGTCGATTCCAATTGAAGAGTACGAATCCATCACACAATTGCCGTGGCTGGGTCTCATCATCGAGGTATTAGTTATGGTCCGGATAGCCCTCCAGATTCCGAATTGCGCTATGTCAAACTCTCAGCACACCGTGGCCAACAGGTACGAACTTCACAGATGTCGGTGCGCTGCCTATTTATTGATCAGTTTCTTACAACGTCTCATTTCACAGGATCACGGCTACATCCCGCCGTTCTTCGAAGTTCTTCACTTCTACAAGACTTCTCTCTTGTGTGAAATCATGCACTCAACTTTCGCTGACACGCGACATCTACGCTCATTGCGGGCGCGATTTCCTGACCTCTACGACTTCATACATGATCCAGGTCATCACCAACAACCGTGCGTCTACATTCGACTTTCCCCATGGCACACACCATACTATGTTGGGGCGACTGATCAGGATGTTCTACGTCGTGAACACTCACGCAGTCGCAAATTTCTACAACTACTTCGTGGACGGCATGCCTTCTTTGAACCGGCGCTTCACTACTGGAAGCGATCCAACACTTACTGGCTCTTCTGTGCTGTACCAGTGGAAATCAAACTTCCTGTTTCCTCGGTGTGGGTTCAAGAAAGCAAATGGCAATTCCTGCTACGCCCGCATTTGAATGCTCCCTGGGTACACAGAATCTTGCGCAAGGTGGGCTTCCGGGAACATCTTGTAGATTTTCGACGCCACTCGTTGTCGTCGCCCACTTCCCTCAGCTTGCACAAGCGCTTTCGACGACGACTACATCCGGATCTCCAACGGCAACTACGACCTGACACCCTGGATGACATTCAGGCCCACTACTCGATCCTCTATCAGCTGGGATCGAACACAGGAGCGTCGTTCCAAGTCATGCGTGACCTACTGTCAGCCGCTTTCCCTCCCACTCAGCTGTACTACTTATTGCGGCTCGCAGTATTTGTCAACGAACCCTTCCGCTCCAAAGCCCAGAAACTCCTCGCCCAGGTACTACGTAAACGACGGCTACAACCACCCACCACTTTAACACAGCTACTTTTGCCGCCGCTGCATGTCCAGAATTGGAAAGCTCTACTGGGCACATGGTTACAAAGCTGGATTGCTTCTCATCGGGATCTGTTCCCCTCTCTTTTCCTTCCAAAGATCCGGGTTGTGGAAACTCGCAGCGCCACACTGGGCGACAAGATATACAACTATCGCACATGGCAGCGCAAATGGGCGCCTGACACATCCTTTCCGTGTCGCTGTTTGGACATCGATGATCAGCCATCTACACCGTGCACATGGTCACGCAGTAATGGTGGATGAGTTTTCTCGCATCAATGCGGACATTAACATTGAAATCATGACCGCCTCAATGAAGGATCAGTTTTTCGGTGATGTCGACTTATTGCATCAACGTTTCACCACACAACTTCGCAAACTTGCTCGACGCTGGCATGTACATGGTTCCGGTCTACTTTCAGATCTACAGCCAGTTGTGTCTCAGCTAATGGATACTCATCGGATCAACCTTCAAGATCGGGCTTATTGGTCATCGACATCGTTGCAACGCACTGTGGCTTCTTTGTCTTCGTGGGTAGTCATCCCGGCGGATCATTTCCCCTCCCGCGCACATGTGATGTGCCCGTCCCTGTTTGCCATATTGATGCGGAAGACATTCTGCGCGGGGGATGTCTTCTCACTTTGCCGCGAATCTGCAGCATCCTTCCGCTCTGAAGTGGTAAACACAGTACCTTCTCTCCTACGTCAACGATATGCATGGGGCCTTCGACTTCAAGCACCGTTGCCCACAGCGCGTATCCTCCCAAAGCCGACCAAGGACTGGCAGAAAGCTCGACCCATCATCTCATTCTTTCGCACATGGGCAGCTCCCTTCCTCACGGTCTTCGGTGCACTTATATTTGAACTCACCAAGGCAGCCTTCCCCGACATTGCAGGTCAACTCTCAGTACAAGAACTTATCCAGCAGCTGTGGGAAGCACTGTCAAAAGCAGATCCTGATGAGTACATCCACCTGGTGTCGCAAGACTTGTCAGGCTTCTTCACGTCCATTCCTACGGAACGATTCCATCAGGCGCTTCAAGTGCTTCTCCATCGCTATGATCAAGTTGTTGGCCTTCGCAGGTTCCTCGCAATGGTCCGTGTACGAAGTCAAGTCAGATCATCGACGCCGTATGTTCAAAGGAAAGTGGCGCCGTCAAACCAAGATCCCTCGAATTTTTCGTGAACAAGATCTCCGGCACCTTCTGGACTTTGT